GTATACAGGCGCCCCATTTTTTACCATTTTTATGCAGATTTTATGCAGATGGCACGCTTCCCTCAATTCCTGAAGCATCTCTGCTAGCCTGCCCTTTCCTAAAGAATCTCTGCTAGGATGCCCTTTCCTAAAGAATCTCTGCTAGCCTGCCCTTTCCTAAAGAATCTCTGCTAGCCTGCCCTTTCCTAAAGAATCTCTGCTAGCCTGCCCTTTCCTAAAGAATCTCTGCTAGCGTGGCCGTTCCTGAATGATCCCTGCTAGCCTGCCCCCCATTCTGCGTCACAAAACGTACTTTTTCGTGTTTTTTACGACATTCCCGTTATCTCCAGCGTCTCTTTCGACCCCCATTTTTGGCAGTGCCCCGGCGAAAAATTGGTCGGCTTATCATCCGGAACCGCCCCGGCCACCCACACCCGTTTTTCCCCGGGCCCTTGTTTTCCCCGATTTCAGGGTTTTTCGATTAAATTTCCACTGCTAGCCTGCCCTTTCCTAAAGAATCTCTGCTAGCCTGCCCTTCCCTAGAGGATTTGAGCGGCTTTTCCAAATACAGGGATCTCCAGATTTTCGTAGATTTCTCCCTCTCTCTCTCGCCCTCTCTTTCACCAATTCTCATCAAATCCCCAACTTTTCAGGGGTAATTGCTCTTCCGCGAAAAGTCTGACTTTCCCGAGATCCGCCCCAAGGCTTTGCTGACTTTTGCCCGGTCACCCGGGAGGCATATCCATTATATATCTGGTCGCCAGATTGGCTAGAATTTTTCGATTTTCAGTAAATTATCAGCTTTTTATTTCAGTTCTCGTTTTAAAAATCTTCCGGAAAGGGCAGGCTAGCAGAGATTCTTGAGGAAAGGGCATGCCTTTTTTGGGTTTTTTGGTTAAAAATGTCTTAATCTTTCAAATTATTCTGAATTTGAATGATTTTTTTAGGATTATTGATCGATGCTTTCTTCTTTATAAATGTTCATGCAAATTTTAAAGGGTTTCTTTCCAGGTACCCAATCGACACAGCAAAAAGACAAAAAGGCGAACGAATTCGAGAGAAAAATCGCTACATTTTCGGGCCAGCTTTTCAGGTGAATTTCAATTCATCTTACAATATCTCTCTCCCTCTCTCTCTCTCTATGTCTCTCACTCTCGCTCTCTCTCACGCTCTCTCTTCTACTTGTTAAAATGTACATTTTTATACAAATCCGGGCACAGAACCCGCCCTACAGTCGCTCCGAAGCCGGAGTACCAAAAACGCGCAGCCGGTCCGTCCGGCTTAAGCCACGGCTTTGATGACTTTAACGGCTCCGCTGGCTTAGTCTCGAGCGATGAGTTTGCCAGGGTTCCTAGGATCCGTGACCTGAGCCGTAGCCTGCCCTTTCCTAAAGAATCTCTGCTAGCCTGCCCTTTCCTAAAGAATCTTTGCTAGCCTGCCCCTCCCTCAAGAATCTCTGCTAGCCTTCCCTTTCCTACAGACTTTCTGCTAGCCTACCTTTCCTTAAGGTTATCTACCTCTTGATTCCCCAATGGTCTCTCCCAGCCTGCCCGCCGAATCTGACGAATCGCCAATCCAAATTCTACCTAATCCCTCCAGTTTTTCCCCCTACCACCGCCCTAATCTATGGATTTGGTGGGGGTGGATGGATGGGAGGAAATCCGGTTACTACCCCCCTTTCACAACTCATCAAAGAAGCTTTCCCCCATCATTTCCTTTCTAGCAAAAATCCTTGATTTGCCCGGATATCGGTGTACGGTAGAGTGTTGTGGTTCCTAGCAGCTATTTTTCAGGAAAGGGTAGGCTAGCAGAGATTCTTTAGGAAAGGGCAGGCTAGCAGAGATTCTTTAGGAAAGGGCAGGCTAGCAGAGATCCTTGAGGAAAAGACAGGCTAGCATTGATCATTAAAGAACCAGGAATCCCAAAAATTAAGAAATCCACGCCAGACCCGAAATTAGTAACGATGCGGACGAGGCGGACGGGTCGAACCCGGATTCAAATTCGAGAACCGGTAATTCCGACGAAATTGCCGGGGGCCCTAGCGAAATTACCGGAAATTGGGGGGTTGAAGCCGGGCTGGAAAGTCTGCTATTTTCTTCCCCACAAGAATTCTTTGCCCGTTAAGGTCATTTCCGACTCGTTACCGCGTACTTTTCACGGCTGGATTCTTGTGGATTTTGCGTTGAATGGTCCTTGAATCAAGTTAGGACTGTAAATTTAGGCGCCGTTCTTGAAAAGATGAATCTGGCGCCGCCGACGATTGCGATGGACACTGGCGGAGGGCATTTGATGGCACCGGGGACGGCCGGTGAGTTGGATATACCTGTCTCTCGTGCTCAATCTCGCTTCATTTCTCTCCCTCTCGCTCTCTCTCTCTTTCTCTCTCTTTCTCTCTCTCGCACGCTCGTTCTCTCTCACACGCTCTCCCTCTCCCTCTCTCGCTCTCTCTCTCTCGCTCTCTTTTTCTCTCTCTCGCTCTCCCTCGCTCTCTCTCGTTCTCTCTCTCTCTTTCTCTCTCTTTCTCTCTCGCAAGCTCTTTCTCTCTCACACGCTCTCCCTCTCCCTCTCTCGCTCTCTCTTTCTCTCTCTCTCGCTCTCCCTCGCTCTCTCTCGCTCTCTCTCTCGCTTTCTCTCTCCTTCCCTCTCTCTCTCTCTCTCTCTCTCTCTCTCTCTCTCTCTCGGCTTCTCTCTCCCGCCCCATATAAAATTGTTTTGTAGCCGAATACGGTCGTCGATCACCATCCCCAAATCCAACCCTGCTGCTGCCGTCGACTGCCGACAACGGCGACCCGCCAAGAAGAGGGTTGCTAGGGGTGAGTTTTTATGGAGGGCAGCTAGCAGGGACCATTTGGGAGTTTTCCCCAGCTAGCCGAGATCATCAGGGTGGACAAGGCTTTCTTGTCTCAGCTACCGTACTCCCCGTCAGTCCAGTGTTGTTAGGCGCGTTCTGGAACAGAACGGCTGCCTGGCGCTGTGGCCACACGGTTTGTTGTGGCTATTTTCGTTCCGGGACCCCACGCCAGACAGGCGAGACGAGGCGAAGAATTCCCGTCTCGGGACCCCCGGGCTTGGGGGAGTTGTGTGGGGGAGGGGAGGGTGGGGTCGTCAAATAGAAAACACGAGGTCGGTGGGGAGGCCATTCTCGCTTTGTATCGTCTCTTGCTTTCTCTCTCTCTCTCTCTCTCTCTCTCTCTCTCTCTCTCGATCGTTTTTCTAAGCCAAACGTTCTATGCCGTATTACTAGGATTCTGGAAAATTGGCAAGATTGCAGATACCCTTTAGGAAAGGCAGGCTAGCAGGGATTTTTGGGGATGGCAAACAGGCAGAGACTCGTGGGATCACCTTTTTCTCAGCTCAAAGCCCATCTCGATTGCCTCCATGCTTTTTTAAAGTTTTTTTTTGCGCACTCTCTCTCTCTTGCTCTCTCCTCCCTCTCTCTCTCTCTCTCTCTCTCTCTCCCTCTCTCACTCTCTCCCTGTCCGCAAAACCACAACCAAAAGCGCATTCCATTCCGTGTTCCCAATGCGTCCTTTTCGGCGTCCTTTCTCAAGCCTGGACCCCGCTCAACAAATCGCCTCTGCTAGCCTGCCCTATCCCAAAGAATCTCTGCCAGCCTGCCCAGCCATGCTTCCGTTAAAACCGGCCGTCCGGTCACTTCCTGCTCCAAAAATAAGCGTCAAAAGACCGGCGGGGGGCAGTAGCATATGGCCCAGGGGGGCCTCACCTGAGTTTGAGGATGTGGCTGACACGACGATTGGCACATTTTTGAGGGCGAGCGAGAGAGAGAGAGAGAGAGAGAGAGAAATAGAGAAAGACCCCCGAAAACGGCTGAACCGTCAGCTGGCGTGTCCCGGAACGGCCCAGTGCCGCCCGCCGCCTCGTCAAACCATTGAAACTTTCCCAGGATCCCGACGAAAAAAAGGGCACCGCCTTGGACATTGGTTTTAGCCGGGGTTTTTGGCTCCTGAATGATCTCTGCTAACTTGCTTCGTTCCTCAATTTTCTCTGCTAGGCTGCCCTTTCCTAAAGAATCTTTGCTAGCCTGCCATTTCCTAAAAACTCTCTGCTAGCATGCCCTTTCCTAAAGAATCTCGGCTAGCCTGATTCATGACATCATTTTTCCCCCCAAAAGATCTTTCCGGTCAATGTTGCTGCCAAAATATGATGGGGAGGGACGGGTCTTTTTACTTGCTCTCCCTCTCACTTTTCTCTCTCTTTCTCTCTCGCCCACCCTCTCAAAAGCCTCCCCCCGAAAGTTTTGACCGGGTCCGGTGGGTGGATGGGGGGAAAAGCAGCCGGGGGAACGAACCGAATTGATCGGTTCACCGGGGCCCCCGGGTTGGCCCTGAACTCTTCTCTCGCTCTCTCTCTCTCGCCTGTCCTCTCTCTGTCTCTATCTCTCTCCATCGCTAGCCCTTCTTTAGAGGCCAGGCCGTTTTTTTTAGTTTAATCTGACTCATCCCGAATCTGCGGCTCGAATGATCTGAGCACTTCTAAAGGGGTTGGCAAGCCAGCCGTCTCTCTCCCTCTCTCTGTCTCTCGCTCTCTCTCACTCTCTCTCTCTCTCTTGCCGACTCAGCGGAGCCTAGAAAATCAAATTTATCCGGCTGATTCATATCAGTCAAGCTCTGACAAAATCCCGCAATTTTGGGCATCAGCGATTTCCGAAAAACGCCATTAGCTTTCCCCTAGGTTCCTAAATAATCTCTGCTAGCCTGCCCTTTCCTAAAGAATCTCTGCTAGCCTGCCCTTTCCTAAAGAATCTCTGCTAGCCTGCCCCTTCCTAAAGAATCTGTCAGGATTTTGTCCTGTCGGGATTTTCGCTAGAATCCCTCGCCAGCCTCCCCCAATTCCCCAATGATCTCTGCCAGCCTGCCCATAAAATTCCCCAATGCTCTCTGCTAACTCCGTTTTTCCAGGAGCCTCCTGTCATCTGCGAGCAGGGCCCATCCGCTCCATCATCCCCCACATCGCCTGGGGGGTCACGTCTCCGCCGTCCGTGCCCGCTCAACGAAGAGACCATGCAGCGCATCAATTTGGTACGTCAATCGGTGTGGAAAGTAGTCTTTTTGGGCTATTCTAATGCATTATCTGGATTTTTTTTTATTTTAGCTAAACTCCCAGTTCCAACTCGGCCTGCCCGGCTTCTGCCCCGACTTCGGCAAGCTGGCCCCACTTTCGCCCAACTACGCTACTTCGGACCTGGGTTCGAGTCCGAGGAGTTCGATCTCGGTGACGACGTCCGGGTTGGGGCCCTGGACCTGCTATCGGGATAAGGGGTACGTTACAGGGATTCTTGAGGAAGGGGCAGGCTAGCAGGGATTCTTCAGGAAAGGCAGGCTGGCAGAGGTCCTTTAGGAGCTATCTATTTTTGCCTTGCAGCTCTTCCTTCGACCTCGACGACGCCGGCTCGGAAGTTGGGAAAGATGGCACTCGATCACCGGGCGTCATTTTCTCTCCGGCTCCGTACTCACCGTTTTCTGGTAAGCCCAAGCCTAGGTTAAGCCTAAGCCAAGCCTAAGTCAAGCCCAAGCTCAAGCCTAAGCTGGAGCCTCAGCTTAAGTCTAAGCTTAGGCCTAAGCATAAGCCTATGCCGAAGCCTAAGCCTAAGCCTAAATTTTTCAAGAAATCTAAGCTACCAGAGATTCGTTGCAGATTGCCCAGGTGGCGAGTCCCCCTTCTCGATGTATGCGCGCTCGCCGCTCCACTCGCCGACGCCGTACAACCAGTTGATGCACTTCAGCTTCGACCCGATCCGCAGCGCCTCGTCGATGTCAAACCGTGCTGGTCATCTACTGCAGCCGCAGTCGTACTCCTTGGATTTGACGAGGTGAGAGAGAGCGAGAGAGCGAGAGAGAGAGAGAGAGAGAGAACATCCATCTTCTAGAGAGCGCAGCCGCTCGGACGGCGAGATGGTGAAGGACAACGAGAAGATGGACACCAGCATGCACTCGACAATTTCGGCAAGTTCAACAGGTGATGCTCAACGTCATCTAGGTGCCGGCGACGACCTCACGGCCACTTTCTGATGTCGGCCAGTATAAGAAGCGACTGATGCACCGCTACCAGGAGGAGCAGCGCCATCAGCTGGCCCACTCGAGGTCGTCCAGCTCGCCGCCGCCGAGCGCTGCGGTGAGTTGTAAAAAAGCGTATAATACCTATTTTTACGGGCATTTTGATTTCCCAGTCTCCTTAAACCGAATCCTGGGTCCGGAAGCGCTTAATGCGGGCTTTCAGGAGTCCGAATTCGATGAGGGCGACCTGCGAAGTGTCAGCCGGCAGACCAGCCGGCAGCCGACGATTGAGGAGCCTCCACCCAGCCCCACGCAGGGACAAAGCATTGAAGATGTAAGTGGAGAGAGATTGAGAGAGAGAGAGAGCGCGAGAGAGTGAGAGAGATAGTGCGAGAAAGAGAGAGAGAGAGAGAGAGAGAGAGAGAGAGAGAGAGAGATAGTCAGAGAGGGAAGAGGGTGAGAGGGAGAATGAGAACGAGAGCGAGAATGAGAGAGTGAGCGAGAGAGAAAGAGACCGAGATGGACAGAATGAGCGAGAGAAAAACAGAAGCAGCCTAACCAATTTTTTTCCAGCTCGCCGCCGCCGTGCAGGCCCTCGGCAACCAGATGAATTTTGACCACTGGGTGAAGGTGCAAATGCTCGCTTTCCAACTGGCAAATCAGAATAATAGTGAGCCTTCTAACCAAGTATTTTCATGTCGTAACCATTTAGACATGGTAGCGCCCCAGAATCCGAATTTGTTGTCGGTTCCGCCGAATCCGGCCCTGCTCGCCCCGCCGACCGAGCAGCACGGAATGGGACTGACCAGGCAGCGGAGTATCGATATTACGCCGTCGAGTCCGGGTCCGATAAAGGTGGGTGGCTGGCAGAGATTCTTTAGGAAATGGCAGGCTAGCAGAGATTCTTTAGGAAAGGGCAGGCTAGCAGAGATTCTTTAGGAAAGGGCAGGCTAGCAGAGATTCTTTAGGAAAGGGCAGGCTAGCAGAGATTCTTTAGGAAAGGGCAGGCTAGCAGAGATTCTTTAGGAAAGGGCAGGCTAGCAGAGATTCTTTAGGAAAGGGCAGGCTAGCAGAGATTCTTTAGGAAAGGGCAGGCTAGCAGAGATTCTTTAGGAAATGGCATGCTAGCAGAGCTTTAAGCAGCGGAATCAGGTTTTGGAAAGGGCAGGCTAGCAGAGATTCTTTAGGAAAGGGCAGGCTAGCAGAGATTCTTAAGGAAAGGGCAGGCTAGCAGAGATTCCTTGGGAAGGGGAATGTAGGCTAGCAAGCGCCACTGAAAATGGAGCAGGCTAGCAGAGAGTATTTAGGAAAGCGCTCAACGATCCACGCTTTTCAGTCGCCGACCCTCTGGCGCCGCTCTCGCTCCGAGTCGGACGTCTCCGGGCGCGCGGCGGCGCTGGGCGGCTGCGCGCCGCCCAGCCCCCAGCCGCCGACGATGTCGATGATCCCGGGTGGCACGCTGCCGAATGGGGCCTCAGTCACTGCTCCCCAACTTGCAAACGTTCCGCCGGCCAGCCAGTTTGTCTGCCAGCACTGCGGGCAGGCGTTTGCTCTGCACGATCGGCTCGCCAAGCACATTGCTAGCAGGCACAGGTGGGCGTGGTTTTAAGGGTTCGGGAAGACTGTTAGGCTTAGGCTTAGGCTAGGCTTAGATGGGGTCTGGAACTTAACAATTGTCTTTAGGGACCGTTCGGCGTCGGTGAACGACGAGACCGGGAAGACGCACAAATGTACGCTGTGCACGAAGAGCTTTGGGAGGAGCGATATGCTGACGAGGTAGTTTCCATCTCACTCTCTCTCTCTCTCTCTCTCTCTCTCTCTCTTCACACTCCTGATTTTCAGACACATGCGCCTTCACACCGGGCTGAAGCCTTACTCCTGCCAGATTTGCGGTCAGGTCTTCTCCCGGTCCGACCACCTATCCACGCATCAACGGACCCACACCGGGGAGAAGCCGTATCAGTGTCCGATTTGCAACTATGCCGCGGTAAGTGGAGGGCAGCCTAGTAGAGATTTTTTAGGAAAGGGCAGGCTAGCAGAAATTTTTTAGGAAAGGGTAGGCTAGCAGAGATTCTTGACAAGGATAGCGAGCTGTCCGGCTCCCTTCAAGCCCAAATTTCCAGAGTCGCCGCGACATGATCACACGCCATATGCGGACCCACCTTCGGCCCGACGGAACCCCCTACGACCTCTCCACCCAGATGACCGCCATCAATGCGCTGGGTAGCGGCGCCGACCAGGCGTTCCGAGACATGCTGAACGCGCTACGCGCCGGACTAGGTAAGCACTGGATCATGTCTTGGGTTAGGCTTAGGCTTCGGCTTAGGTTTAAGCTTGGGCTTAGGCCTAGGCCTGTAGAGCCGATTATCAAACGCTTTGCAACGTTCGAAACCGAAAAATTCCGGCATTTCAGCGGCCGCGTCGCAGGGTAGCACTCCGCAAGGCGTCACGGGCACGAATCCGTTGGGTAGTCTGGCTAATGGTTAGCTTTTCGAATTCAAAAACGAGTTAAAAACGGCTTAGGTCTGTCTCGCTCTCTCTCGCTCTCTCTCGCTCTCTCTCGATCTCTCGCTCTCTCTCTCTCTCTCTTTCTCTCGCTCTCTCTCTCTTCCGCCTAGACTCCGGTTTCCAGGTCTCTCCTCAACGCTGTCTCCTAGCGAATCGATGGGATCCCTGACGCCATCGGGCTCGATGTCCGGCACGTTGACACCAGGTGCGTAGCAGAGATCCTTTAGGAAAAGAGGAAATTGGCTAGCAGAGATTCTTGAGGAAAAGGCATCCTAGCAGCAACCCTTGACACCCCTCTAACCCCTGTTTTTGCAGGCAGCAGCCTGGCCGGCAGCCTGGCCAACGGGCTGAGCATCGGCTCCGGCGAGCTCTCCGCTTTCCAGGTGAGTCGACGTTTGGAAATTCTGAGAACCGAGCTTCAAAGAAATATCCCTGACTTACTTGGCATTGGTGTTAAGAGAAAAAGAAGCTCATAAAACCACAAATAATTTCAACATTCAGAACTTTCAACGCCCCACGCCGAAGACGCTGCTCCTGCCCCCGGCGCCGCTCGTCCACTCGCTGTCCACGCCGGCCAGCCCGCTGCTGAGCCGGCAGCCCAGCTTCGGCGGCTTCGAGAATCCGCCCTGAGCCAAGGATAAGCCTAAGCCAAAGCATACTACGACTATTAACCCCACTTTAATCTTGTAATTTTGTTCTTAAATTGCGTAGGCGAACGCAAAGCCTAAGCCGAGGCCTAAGCCTAAGCAGAAGCCGAAGTCGAAGCCTAAGCTCAAGCCGAGGCCGAAATCTAAGTCTAATCCTAAGCCTAAAAGCCTAAGCCTAAGCCTAAGCCTAAGCCTAATCCTAAGCCTAAGTCTAAGTCTGAGCCTAAGCCTAAGCCTAAAAGCCTAAGCCTAAGCCTAAGCCTAAACCTAAGCCTAAGCCTAAGCCTAAGCCTAAGCCTAAGTCTAAGCCTAAGCCTAAGCCTAAGCCTAAGCCTAAGCCTAAGCCTAAGCCGAAACCCAAACCTAAGCCCGAACCCAAGCCTAAGCCTAAGCCTAAGCCGAAACCCAAACCTAAGCCCGAACCCAAGCCTAAGCTTAAGCCTAAGCCCCCCGCCTAGCAAAGAACCCACAAGCAACGCGTCTCAGGCCACAGTCTCAATCTCAACCCACACAAAAAATTTCAGATTTTTATGATTTCCTAAAGCACAATTTTTTTGGCTTTTCCCTGAAAGCTATTCGTCAATGGGTAGTGTAGCGGAATTCCCGAACGCCTATCTCCACAAATCCACCGCAGAATTTCTATTTTAGACGATATTCGCTAAAATATATATTTTTTTTCCTGGTTTTTCCGATTTTTTAGAGCCACAGTAACCCTCTTGCCGTGTGTGTTTCCCCCATTTTTTTGAAGGCGTACAAGGGAGTGGGGCGTAGTCTGCTACGCCACGCTCCTAGTGATGCCATTTTTTGTAAGTTTTCTGTTGCGCCCCTCATATCATGGAAAGCTTAGAATTTGTACAAAAATTGCTTCTGAATCCCCTTGATTTGATTACCCCGCGCCCCGATAAAATGACACCCCAGCTCCCAGATACGGTATGTGCAAAATAAATTTTTGTGTTTTTGTGAACCCGAAAATGCATGTAAGCGAGAGACAGAGAGAGAGGGGGAGAGAGGGAGAGAGAGGGAAGAGAGAGCGAGAGAGAGTGAGAGATAGGGAGTAACAGAGCGAGAGAGTGAGGAGAGGGAGGGAGACACAGAGAGATAGAACGGGGTGGTGGTGGGAGAGGGAGGGAGAGACACAGAGAGATAGAGCGAGAGAGAGGGTGTGAGAGAGGGTGTGAGAGCGAGAGAGCGAGAGAGAGAGAGACGGAGAGAGCGAGAGACGGAGAGAGAGATGCCGAATAAAGTGCACTCAAGGCGCAGAAGCTTAAGAAATCGATGGCAGGTTGGCCAAGGTTTCTCGGAGGCGCTGACTAGCAGAGGTTCCTTAGGAAACGGCAAATTCGCAGATCTCTTTGGGAATTGATCACATTGACTGGGGATTGTTTGAGTTTGAGAGCGAGGCCCGCATAAACGAAATCACAAAAAAAAATTGTGTGAAAAATCTTTATTTTCAATCTTGCACGTCGACCAGGCGCTTTTGGTAGGCTCAAATTCGGGCTCGACGGGCAAAGTAGACGACACTTCGGGGCGGGCAGGGGCAGTAGGCGGCATCGGGGCCGGGAAGGCCGGGGCCGCCATTCCCTCCTGGGTGGCCATCTCCACCAGGCTGTCCGGGGTGTCCAGCAGGTCCAGGTGGGCCCTGAAAGGTAAAGTTGGGCAATTCCCAAATACTCTCTGCTAGCCCGCCCTCTAAATTCATGAATGATATCTGCTGGCCTGCTCTTCTTTTCCCTGAAGATCTCTGCTAGCCCGTCCTCTAAATTCCTTAAAGCTCTCTGCTAGCCTCCCGCCTAGGGTTGTTATATGACTTGAGTCGCGACCGACTTGCGTCGGCGAAAATGCAAATGACTTGAGTCGGCACTAGAGTTGTTATAACTCAAACAACAAACAACAAATTATTCAAACAACTCAAACAAGTTTGCTTTGTTTGAGCTCGACGAGTTTCAAACAAAACAATCTTGTTTGATTTGAGTTCCAGGGGGGGATCAAATCAAACAAGGTTGTTTGACTTGTTTGAACTTGTTTGAGCACCCTGAACTGTGAGATTTTTGGGGATTTTTCGATGGACCGGAAGTGGATTCAAACATTCAAAAACAAATTTCACGGGAAAAATGTATGCTAATTGCAAAAATACTAAAAAAACACGCTTTACATCCAAAATTAGCATACATTTCAAACAAGATCAAACAAAACTCAAACTGCTCAAATAGTTCAAACAATCTTGTTTTGTTTGAGCGATCAACGGTCATCTCAAACAAAACATGTTTGATTTGAATCTCCAAAATCCCAATCAAACAACATTGTTCAAACAAGCTTGTTTGAGGCCTTGTTTTGTTTGAGTTATAACAACTCTAGTCGGCACCGACTCGCATCGGAAAAATTATGAGTCGGAATGAACGGATTGAAATGTTAACGATTCAATTCGTAAACGACGCGAGTCGTCAAACGATTTGAGTCGGAATGGAAATTAGTCGGATGGAACGACTTGAAATCGCGACGACGCAAGTCGCCGACGACTCAAGTCGTTTGCGTTTTCAAGTCGTCGGAAGTGAATTTATGCAAATATATGTTGATGGAAATAAACTTGATCGACCAACTATATGCTTGTCTGAACGGGGGAGACAACGTCGCACCACCCTTTACGCTACGATAGGACAACAGATCAGGTCTCACCGACCCTCTTCCATAGAAAGCTGTACCAAAACTACCGTAAATAAAGGCATTGGTAAAGCTCGAGATGACGGAGCCCAAGGAGTCGGGAGCTCAGGGAGCTCAGGGCGCTTCTGCAGGTATATTAAAATACCAAAAATGTTAATTTTGAAGTGTCATACTATTCTGAGTATATTACTACAAGATTTAATACGATTTACGGCTTTTCTACAGTTATGCTGCAAAACCAAATAGGGACTAAAATCGCAGCGCGAAGCGGCCTTTTTCCACTAGTTCACGGATAAACAGTTTGCGTACAGCTTTCTATGGAAGAGGGTCGGTGAGACCTGATCTGTTGTCCTATCGTAGCGTAAAGGGTGGTGCGAAGTTGTCTCCCCCGTTCAGACAAGCATATAGTGGGTCGATCAAGTTTATTTCCATCAACATATATTTGCATAAATTCACTTCCGACGACTTGAAAACGCAAACGACTTGAGTCGTCGGCGACTTGCGTCGTCGCGATTTCAAGTCGTTCCATCCGACTAATTTCCATTCCGACTCAAATCGTTTGGCGACTCGCGTCGGGTGGCGATTTGAATCGCGCCGATTTTAAATCGCAAGTCACGGTTTTAAAAGCATACGATTCAGTTCGTCAGTCGACTCCAGTCGTTTGCGAATTGAATCGTCAACATTTCAATCCGTCCCTTCCGATTCATAATTTTTCCGACGCAAGTCGGTGCCGACTCAAGTCATATTACAACCCTACTCCCGCCTTATTCCCCAATGATCTCCGCTAGCTTCCCCACCTACCTGAGGTCCCGGGTGCCCGGGCTGTCCATTGTTTCCGTTGCCACCTGGTGCTCCTCTCGGCCCGGGCCTTCCGGACTGGCCAGGAGCCCCAGGCTGTCCCTTCCTCTCTGTCCATCCCTTCCCGGTCCTCCCGGTTGTCCCGGATTTCCGGGCGATCCGGGTCGGCCGCTGTCTCCGGCAGGTCCGGCTGGCCCTGGCCTTCCATCATTTCCACGTCGCCCTGGCTGACCGGGGTTTCCGGATGGGCCGGGCGGTCCCTGGAAAATTTTTTCTTGTGTGTTTCAAAAAAGCTCAATCTGTAGCCAAGGTTAAGCTAAGCCTAAGCCTAAGCCTAAGCCTAAGCCTAAGCCTAAGCCTAACCTATGTCGAAGCCTAAGCCCAAGCGAAGCCTAAGCCTAAGCCTAACCTAAACCTATGTCGAAGCCTAACCTAAGCCTATATCGAAGCCTAAGCCTAACCCTAACCTAAGCCCAAGCGAAGCCTAAGCCTAAGCCTAAGCCTAACCTAAGCCTAAGCTTAGGCATTAGTCCAAACGTCGAAGCCGCTTACCATGTTTCCGGAGGGCCCAGACGGTCCAGGCGGGCCCTGTGGGCACTTGACACAGGAGGTATCCTGGGGCGGGCACGTGATCGGGGCGTAGGTTTGACGATTGTCGTTTCCTGGGGGTCCTGAAAGGATTTTTAGATTTACACCTAGGTGTCGGGCTCCTAAAGAATCCCTGCTAGCCCGCCCTTTCCTAAAGAATCTCTGCTCTCTATCAAATGCACGCACCAGGGTTTCCGGGTTGTCCAGGCTGTCCGGGGCTTCCGGCAGGTCCGGGTGGCCCTGGCGGGCACTGCGGCTTCTTCGGCTCGCACTGGCACCAGGCGGGCAGTCCGGCAAAGTTCTGGCGCTTCTGGCGGAAGATGGAGTTGAACGGGTTCTCCCTATAATGTGGGTATTTGAGTGAAGGCCTAGGCTTGGGCTCAGACTTCGTGCCACATACCTGGGCTTTGACGGCGGGGAGACGACGATTTGGACGTCCATCATCTGCGTCCAGGCCGAGTCGGTCTCGACGCGAAAGACGGAGACAGAGTCGAGCACTTGGTCGTGGATCTGAAGTTTTTTAATCTTGGTCGAGAGAGAGATCGATAAAGCGAGAGAGAGAGTGGGAGAGAGCGAGAGCGGCGAGAGAGAGCGAGATAGTGCGAGTGAGAGAGAGAAAGAGAGAGAGCGCGAGATAGTACTAACGAGAGAGAGTAGAGAGAGAAAGAGGGAGCGAGAGTGAGAGAGTAGAGAGAGTGAGAGAGTGAGAGAGAGCTAGGCGGAGAGAACCGCTCCTCCAAGCGTACCTCGTTGATCTCGCTGTACAGTGCCGGAATCACGAAAAGGGTAGCCGCGACGGCGATCGTGGACGCGACGCACGCTATCGAGACGATCACCTTCTCCTCGCCCATCTGAAGAATCGAATGGGTTTTAAAGGGACTGGGAAGTCAAAATGGGCGATATTCGGGATTCTCTCAAAATGTCGAAATTTCTGAATGTCGAAATTTAAGGATGTCGGAATTTGCATAAGCTAATTTTCCCGGAAAACCCCCGACGTCTCGGAAAAAAGTCGACATGCCAAGTTTCGGCATTATGAAATTTCGCTATTCTGAATTTCAACATTATTATTTTCGGCATTTTGAAAGAAACAGCTGCAAAAATATGGTTCCTAAGTATAGTGGGTCGGCTTTTATAGGGTGAAACCCGGGGAGGAGGGGGCGGTCTCGAGGGGTGGCGGAACTCGCGGTTTTGGAGGGTTCCGCTCTGGTTGGGGAGAGAGAGCGAGAGAGAGAGAGAGAGGGAGAGAGAGCGAGAGCGAGAAACCGCCAACCCGCCATTACCATCCCCGGCGACGATCCTCGGGAGTGGCAAATTTGGGGGCGAGGGCTCGAATTTTTCGGGTATGTCCTCGAATTCGTCACAAAATTGAGGTACCACTGGTTTTCTTGTTGTGGATTTTTCGGTGAGAGAAGAAGGCGGGGACTATTTCTGCTAGTTTTCTCCTAGGTTCCTAAAAGATCTCTGCTAGTTCGCTCCTAAATTCCGAAAAGATCTCTGCCGATTGCCCTAGCAGTCCTCAAAGATCTCTGCTAGTCTTTCTTCGACTCCTCAAAGGCCTCTGCTAGATTTCTCGCAATTCCTAAGTAATCTCTGCTAGCCTGGCCTCGATTCCCCCAATGGTCTCCGCTGGTTGCCCTGCAAGTCATAAACGTGCTCTGCAAGTTGTCCTGAACTTCTAAATGCTCTCTGCTAGCTGCTCCTAAATTCCTCAATGATCTCCGCCAGCCTGCTTTCGATTCCTCAATGATCTCTGCTAGTTGTTTTCTTGCTTCCTAAAAAATCTCTGTTAGCCTGCCTTTCGCCCTGACTTTAGCGATGCCTCGGGAAAGCGAAAGTCCCTTGTGTGCGTGGAAATCCCGGCCGGTCGTCCCCCTAAAATTTGCCCTTCGGGCACAAAGCCATACCTTGCCCCCCAATCCGATCATCCAAAGACGAAGAGAGAGAGAGAGAGAGAGAGAGAGAGAGAGAGAGAGAGAGAGCGACTGAGTGCAACCACATCGCCATTTTTAATCGAGTGTGACTAATTGGATCCCGTCCAATGGCGACCACCCGCAGAGCGAAGCCGTTCCACTTTTTGCCGGCTACCTCTTGCAGCATTTCCACGGGGTTCTTCCTGTCATTAAGGAAAGTGCGTACGTGGGGGAAGTCGCACTCACTTTCTCTCTCTCTCTCGCTCTCTCTCTCACGCTCTCTCTCTCATCCCCTTTTGAGCGGATACTGCCTGGTTTCCAAATTTGTTGCTAGCTATCTCGTCCATATTCACGTTTCAATTTCTGTCTTTCGGGAGAGAGAACGAGAGCGAGAGAGAGCGAGAGAGAGCGAGAGAGAGTGAGCGAGAGAGAGAGAGAGCTAAACGGAAATACGAAAACGAATTATCATTTTCCAAAGAATTCAATTTGCATATGGAAAACTGTGACATTCTCGTCCACTTCTCGTTCCCTGCGTGTATTTGATCGACAGATGGATTGGAAGTCGAAGTCGAGTCGAGATATTTTTCTCCCTCACTCTCTCTCGCTCTCGCTCCACCACTTTCTCTCTCTATCGCTCTCCCTCTCTCGCTGCCAAAAAATACCGGCAAAAGTGTATATATAGTGCTTTATTCATTTCCCGTGCTGACGGTTCATTTTTCGTCCTGTGCGCCTCCGCTACAGTACGCTGTAGGCGTGCTTACTGTAGGACTGGGGGGATGCCCAGCCCACCAGCGGGCCCACGTCCCATTCGCGCCTATTGACGACCCTGGAAAACCCGGTTAAAGCCTTGGAAGGGGGATAGAGAGAGAGAGAGAGAGAGAGAGAGAGAGAGAGAAAAAGAGAGAGGGAGAGAGAAAGAGAGAGAAAGAGAGAGAAAGAGAGAGAGAGAGAGTGAGGCAGAGAGGCAGAGAAACAACCCACTCATCTGCCGCTCGTATGCTCATCCTTCGACTCCGCGTCGCCGCCAACACCTTCGCCCGGGTCAGCGGACTCATCGTCTTCCACGTGTCTTTCACCTGAAATTCTGAACCTTGTGCTCGAACTAAAAATCGATCAAGTAAATGAATTTCATAAACAAAGAATAAGAACAAAAATAGGCCGTTTCTGACTTTCACCGACCTCAACATGGTCAATCCCCGCCCAGCCGCAGCTAGTGATGGCGCGGACGAGGATGAGCAGAAACTCCTCGCTCAAGTCCTCCTAAATTGGGAATGAGAGGGCAGGCTAGCAAAGATTCTTTAGGAAAGGACAGGCTATCAGAGATTCTTTAGGAAAGGGCGGGCTAGCAGAGATTCTTTAGGAAATGGCAGGCTAGCAGAGATTCTTTAGGAAAGGGCAGGCTAGCAGAGATTCTTCAGGATAGGGCAGGCTAGCAGAGATTCTTTAGGAAAGGGCGGGCTAGCAGAGATTATTTAAGAAGGGGCCGGCTAGCAGAGGCTAGCAGATCCGGGAAAGTTTGCCCTTGACCCACCATAAGAATCTGCTTTGGCCGCAGCGTGGGCATGACCAAGCGAGCGTACAGCTCGAAGTCCTCGGCGCACCCGAGGTCGACGACCGTCGGCTTGGCCGTCGATGTGGAAAAAACTTTCACCTGAAGAGAGTTGTTACGTGTTATAAGCCTACCGTCATCCGCTTCGCGTCCACCAGGACATCATTCCACGTCTCGAACGGGGGCAGGGGATAATGCTGGAACGGGGGATGATCAGTCAGGATAAGGCTTCGGCTTTGCCTTTGGCTTGGCTTAGGCTTAGCTTAGGCCTAGGTTTAAGCTTGGGCTTAGACTTCGCTTAGGCTTAGGGCTAGGCTTTTCGCTCTCTTCACTTACGTCAAAACTCCACTGATATGTGAGTTGTATCGCTGCCACGTCCCGATGTGGCCAACGATCTCGGTGCAGCGAGAGATGGCCCCGGATGGTGGCGCACGTCTGCGAGAGGGTACGGGTATCCGCGAGCGTGAGCTGGAATTAAGAATACTTTTTAAATGGTCTCGGCTAGCCTGTCCTTTCCAAAAGAATCTCTGCTAGCCTGCCCTACATTAGATGCAATTCGTAGCACGACGTCTTCAGGGAGTCCATCAAGCCGGGGCGCCATTTGGAAGAGAAATGTCGTGGAGTGGCTGCGGGAGAGCGAGCGATGCAGCACCGCCGAACGGGTGCTGGATGGGGTTTTAAATGGGCTCGGACGCTCACCGTTGCAGTGGTGCTTTCCGGAAAACGTCGCGGCTGCGTTCTAGGTGGTCTGGGGTAGCTGGGTCATCGTTTACGGGGAAGGAAGTCGTGGCAGAGTCGGCTTCTTCGTTTGAGATTTGGCGCTTCAGGCGATGGGCTGCTGAGGAGAGACTGGGTTTTCTGGAAAGAAGTGGTTTAGAGAGAGAGAGAGAGAGAGAGAGAGAGAGAGAGAGAGAGAGAGAGTGAGAGTGAGAGAGAAGAGAGACAGAGAAAGCGACAGAGAGAGAAGAGATAGAGAAAGAGAGAGAGAGAGAAGATATATATATATAGAGAGAGAGAGAAAGAGAAGAGAGAGAGAGAGAGAGAGAGAGAGAGAGAGAGTGAGAGTGAGAGAGAAGAGAGACAGAGAAAGCGACAGAGAGAGAGAAGAGATAGAGAAAGAGAGAGAGACAGAGAGAAGATATATATAGAGAGAGAGAGAAAGAGAAGAGAGAGAGAGAGAGAGAGAGAGAGAGAGAGTGAGAGAGAGAGAGAGAGAGTTAAAGGCCTCACCTCATCATCGCCCCCGTAGTCGCGCTGGCCGAAGCGCTACGTTGCAGTACGCCGGATTCTGCGGGCTCAGCACGCCGCTTCAGCCGGACACGCGCCTCGTAGCAGGATAGAAACCGCTTTTTTGCCGGCACCTCTGCGGCGACGTGGGTTTTGCAGGGCTTAAATTTGAAAAAATAGGCAGGGTTTTTGCAGTTGAAAATTGCCAAGCCGGCTGCTCACCTTGGTGACGGGTAGCTCCACGCTTTTCGGGCTTTTTGGCGAGAGGGGCGGTTTGCGGGCGCGCTGCTTGAGGCGTTCTGGAGAGGAAAAATATGGTGGGAGCTTGACATCTGGTGGTTATGGGGTCGGGGTGAGAGAATTTGGAATTGTCTCTCTCTCTCTCACACTCTCTAGCTCTTGCTCTCTCGCTCATTCTCTCTTTCTCCCTTTTAAAATCACCCACCTTGCGGTAACTGCATCGGCAAAACTGTTTGCTTCTGCTGTCCTGTCGTGGAGCATTCCGGAATGTCGGTCGGCACCTGAGAGGCTGCCGGTTCCTAAGAGGGCCTTTGCAAGCGGCAGGCTAGCAGCGATCATTTAGGAAACGGAAAACCAACCCTCTCCTGTTTGCCCAATCTCTTCTGATCGAACAGCGTGTCCGATTTCGATTTCTGGTAGTTCTTCTGGTCGCGCTGTTCGTGGATTCTTGTCTTCAGCAAGTCGAGACCCGTTTGGATGGTTAACGCTTCTGGAATTTTCTCTCTCTCTCTCGCTCTCTCTTTTTCACTCGCTCTCTTTTTCACTCGCTCTCTTTTTCTCTACCATTTTCTATAGCGTCTAGTGGAATCATCGGAGCCGGAAAACAATGGCCAGGGCCCTTGCGCTGCAGGGCCTCAACGAAAGCCGTCAGGAGCTGAAGCCGAGCAGAGTCGTCTTTAGGAGCTTCCCGGCGCCCAAGTCGCGATCCCGAGTGCTTCCGGGTCGTTACCTGAATTCAACGCCGTTTCCTCAAGAATCTCTGCTAGCCTGCCCTTTCCTAATGAATCTCTGCTAGCCTGCCCCTTCCTAAAGAATCTCTGCCAGCCTGCCCTTTCCTAAAGAATCTCTGCTAGCCTGCCCACTCACCGGCATGCCTCTTCCTTTCACAGGCTTAAAAGTCTCCTCTTCGGTCGAGATATCGATGCAAGCCTCGCGATACAGCGGCCGTCGATGGGTGCATTCCGTAGTGGGTGGTTCTACAGTCTTCACCACCTTCATCGGCTCTTCCTTCCGCTTCACCGCTGCCAGGCCGGCAATTCTGCTCGTTTTCGGCCATTTCTCCGGCCTATCCGGGCGCAGCGAGTTCTTCCGCGGCGCCCCTGACGGCACCGGGGTGACGGCGCGTTTAGGGGCGGCTTTTTCGAGGTGTATCTGCCGCTCGGACGCCGATTTCGGCAAAGTACCCGATTTTTCGTGGTTTTTTTGCGCCACTCCGCTGGCGGGATCAGTTTTTTCGCGCAGCATTGGGCCTTTTGTCGATTCAGCCGTTGTCGACTGCAAATTCGGCATGGTCTGGCATTTTTCCAACTTTTTCGGGGTTACAGTAGCCGTTGGGGGTCGTCGCGTAGGGACCCGTGGGGGCAAGGCGGCGTTTTTGGGCTCCAAATCGGGCACGGTTTGGCTTTTCACGAGCTTTGGCGTGGCCAGATTTGCATGGTCAACGTCTTCAAAACGTTCCGCACTAAAATCTCTGGTAGCAGGCGATTTTGGAAGCTTTTTTGGCTCCAAATCGGGCACGGTTTGGCTTTTCGTGGGTTTTGGCGTGGCGCGATTCGTCGTGCCGACGTTTCCAAGCCGTTCAGCCCGACAATCTGAACTCATAGCGGCTGCTGGCCCCATTTTCGCTCGGAAATCCGACACAGTTTGTCTCTTGACCAGCGCGCTTGCGTTCAGCTTCGACGCGTCAACGTCTTCTCGCCGTCCGGCCCCAAAATCCGGGCTCGTTGGCGATTTCGGCAAGGTTTTCTGGCGCAACAAAGTGCGCGTAGAACAATTTTGGATGCACTGCTCCAGACGCTCAAACTCCGGAAGTTCCGCCTCGGCAGCGGCTTCATCGGCTTGGGCTTGAAACGCTTGGCAAACTTCGCACTCGACCGGGCTGTCGGGGCTCGAAAAGACGTTGACCGGAACCGGAATCGGGTCGGAAGCTAAAAATTCAAATCACAAGGGCCTAAGCTAAGCCTGAGCTTAAGTCTAACCTAAGCCTAAGCCTAAGCCTAATTACGGTCGCACCTCGTGGCAGGCTGATCGTACTCGCACTTCGCTTCAGCGTAAAGTGGACAGTCGCGGAGTCTTCGGGACTGGGCGGGACGTAGGTCGGCCGGGTCGGGCTGAGGGGAATCGTGAACGTGATGGCGTCGTCGTCGGAGCTAGACATACGGAATAAAGGGGGCAGGCAAGCAGAGATCCTTTAGAAAGGGGCAGGCTAGCAGAGATTCTTTAGGAAAGATCCGGCTAGCAGAGATTTTATAGGAAAGGGCAGGCTAGCAGAGATTCTTTAGGAAAGGGCAGGCTAGCAGAGATTCTTTAGGAAAGGGCAGGCTAGCAGAGATTCTTCAGGAAATTTTCTATCAATGATGTACAAACCTGCCGGCCGTATCGATGTCTCCAAGAGAGGACGAATAATTAAAAGTTGTGGTCTGCAGGGTGGCCGCATCAGAGTCTTCTATGTATGTGTAGGTCGATGAATACAGGGGATTCATCTAGAACAGAGGTACGAAGAGGGAAAGAGAGAGGGAGAGAGAGAGTGAGAGAGAGAGAGAGCGAGACAGAAGCCGCTACCGAAATTCCAGAAAAATTTGGCAACTGCATAACTACAAAGTGCGTCAAACAGTTAATAGCCGGAGGGTTCATGCTCCCCAGCCGCCGAGAAATGAAGCACGAGAAAGAGAGAGAGAGAGAGAGAGAGAGAGAGAGAGAGAGAGCAAGACCCGTAGAAAGAGAGATCCGGAAAGAAGGTGTAAAGTGTCCCGCTTTTCCCGACTTTTTGTGCGTATTTTTTGCCGAGATCGACTGGGGAGCTCCCCCCATTCCACGCGCGCTGTCAGCTGTTTTTGAGCGCTGCGTCCGGGTCTATTTGGAAACGATGCTCCAAATGATCTATGCTAGCTTGCCATCAATCGCAGTTTAGGTCTCATGCTTTTTCTGTGAAGATCACCACCAAAAACCAGCCATTTATTTTGCGCTCGTTTCCCTGCATCTCTCTTGTCGTCGACCTCCCCAGTTTTAGAGGATAATCTCATCGCCACCCCTCCGCGACGGCGATTCTAAATTGTGAGATTGGTTTAGGCTTAGGCTTCAGCTTAGGCTTGGGCTTAGGCTTAGTGCTTAGGATTAAGCTTAGCCTTAAGCCTCGGCTTAGGCTTGATTTTTTTACAGACCGTGTGAATTGTCGTCGTCGAGCCGCGTGCGCGCCGGGCGCATCGATTGGCGCTGCATGTTTTGCGGGCCCGCATCCAGAGCTGAAAGTAACAAAAATTAGGACGAAAACTTCCCAAATTTTCCTCTGTTAGCCTGCCCCTTCCTAAAGAATCTCTGCTAGACTGCCCTGATTCTTAAATGTCCTTTACAAACGCGCCCCGCCACTTCTTAAATGATCGCTGCTAGCCGACCCTCAGCAACATACCGGATCCACCGTCCCCCGGCCATGAATTGCCCGCCTCCCTGCGAGGCTTCACCGTTGAGGCCGGTCGAGCCGGCATTCGAGGACTCGGAGCCTCGATGGATTTCCGGGCGGATCGGCTCGCCGAAGTTCGAGTCGCCACCGTTATTTCTGAAAAATAAAAAAAATGAAAAAGGAAGAATCTCTGCTAGCCTGCCCTTTCCTAAAGAATCTCTGCTAGCCTGCCCTTTCCTAAAGAATCTCTGCTAGCCTGCCCTTTCCTAAAGAATCTCTGTTAGCCTGCCCTTTCCTAAAGAATCTCTGCTAGCCTGCCCTTTCCTAAAGAATCTCTGCTAGCTTACCCTCCACTCCCGAATCCACCCATCGATCGCCCCCTCTGATCGGCGACGTTGCACAAATTCTGCGAGCAACAGCAAAACGACGCCGGCTCGTTTTGGAACACGGTGGTGATACAGCGATCCTGGGCCAGCTGAAAGCTTCGGCTTACGAAGTATGCTTAGGCTTAGGCTTAGGCCTAGGCTTAGACCCCGACGCCCCATCGAGGCGACCTACCAAGCATCGCCAAAACGAACAGCCGCCCTTGACGACGTCGAAGATGACGAGCCCGCGCACCGAAATGTTATAGCAGTACTCCTTCTCGTCCTGGCAGTGCGTCGTCGACTCGCCCATCGTCGACCCGGAGATGAATTTCATGCCCTGGAAAAAAGTTGGTCGTCAGGTCCTAAATGATCTCTGCTAGTTTGCCTCAATTTTTTTAGATATCTCCGCTAGTTGGTCCTCCAATTCCTTAAAAAACACACATTATAACATTCTAAGCTGAGCGCGACGGCCACCACCGCGAGAAGAAGAAGCAGCTGCTTCATGGCGTTTGTAGAAAGGCTAAAGTATGATTGGTGATGGGATAAAGCTAAGCCCAAGCAAGGCTGAGCCTAAGCCCAAGCCTAAGCCTAGATCCAAGCCTAAGCCTAAGCCCAAGCCTAAGCCTAGACCCAAGCCTAAGCCTCAGCCTAAGCCCAAGCCCAAGCCTAAGCCTAAGCCTGGACGGAAACCTAAAAATCTCAGAAATTAGAGCGCAGCTTCAAGCGGATCGATATCCACCGACTCAAAACTGAAAAATGGAGGTGTTGGCGGAAGTGGCGGGGGTAGGGGATTGTCGAAACAAATTCCCAAATCGCCCCCTTCCTTCGCGCCCATCCTAATAACCTTCAATCCAGGCTGATATCACCGGTATCCCTTGGCCGAATGGCGAGCACGGGGCGCGCGCACCTCTCTCTCGCGTTCTCTCTCCTCCCTCTCTCTCTCTCTCTCTCTCTCTCTCTCTCTCTCTCTCTTTCCCTCTTCATTTCCAGGTCCGTCAAACCTCCCCCGACGACCGCGATGAGTCATATCCGTTTTGTAGATGAGTACATTTCGTTTCACAAGCGGTGACTACCGGCCTAAATCCAAAAAAGCCGCGTACAGGGTTGCGGCACAGAGGGCTTAGGCCTAGGCTTCGGCTTCCTTAAGGCTTAGGCTTCGGCTTAAGCTTTGGCGTAGGCTTACGTTTAGGCGATTCTGTGTGTGGCATTCAAAATATTGGAAATGATAATGCCTAACTTAAAAAATCACAAGATCGCCGAATGTCGAAATTAGATAAAAACCTCACCCGGAACCCCGCCCAAATCTGACGAAAAACGTTTCGGTTCTGCACTCTTAGCGGGGGCGGAACGAACGGATTTCCCCCACTGTTTCGCCACAGCCCCATAGACAATTTTTATTGCATTTTACATCCTTTTTAGATATCTTCCAAAAAATAAAATTCTAAAACTTTCGAAAATTTTTGATTTTTTGGTCAAAAATTTATGAAAAATTACCAAAAAAAGTCAAAATTTTCGAATTTTCAAATTTGCGAACCCCCCGCGATAACAGTCCATAACCAACGTTTCGACATGTTGACATTTCGGCATTATGAATCCGCATTGCAATAGCAAATTCCAGAAACAACTCTGATAGGGTGATGGGCGGAGATGACCCGGACATCTGCGGATCGCAGCTGCTTTCTCCCGCATTTCTGAATGTGAATCAGGTCATTCCTCACAATTCTAGGCCAGATCAATCGCATTACTTTTTATTCAACCCGATGTTATTATTTTTGTTTCGACTTTACTAGAGGGTTTCGCTTAGGCTTTAGGCTTAGGGTTAGGCTTCACTTTGGCTTCGTTTAGGTTTAGCCTTTCGGGTTTAGCCTTAGGCTTAGGCTTAGACGTAGGCTTAGGCTTCAGGCTTCGCTTTGGCTTCGCGTTCGCTTCGCTTAGGCTTCGCTTAGGCCTACTAGGACAGCCCTATATGCCGGACTCAGAAGTGGTTGAAAGCCTCGTTTTCCGAATTTGTTGCGTTTGGCTACGGAAAATTGATACTAAAACACAAATACCTCGGGATTCAAAGATCAGTGGCGCATTTGGAGAACGAATTGATGATCAGCGCGGTCCGCTCAATCTGTGTGTTAATTTTCGCCTAAGCCTAAGCCTAAGCCTAAGCCCAAGCCTAAGCCTAAGCCTAAGCCTAAGCCTAAGCCTAAGCCTAAGCCTAAGCCTAAGCCTAAGCCTAAGCCTAAGCCTAAGCCTAAGCCTAAGCCCAAGCCTAAGCCTAAGCCTAAGCCTAAGCCTAAGCCTAAGCCTAAGCCTAAGCCTAAGCCTAAGCCCAAGCCTAAGCCTAAGCCTAAGCCTAAGCCAAGCCTAAGCCTAACTAGCGGAGCCCGGGTTTATTCGGGCTCCGCTAGTTAGCAATTTAGCCAGCCGGCGACATGGAATTCGAACGATTGTCTGCGGCGTTGATGAAGCTGGTGCTCGACCATCTAGAACCGGATGAACTGCTCGCCCTTCACCGAACCACCCGCACTTTTCGGTAAGCTGCTGCACGGTGACCGTATCGATTAGCTGTTAAAACGGGCCTATTTCCAAAATATCGGAATTAATAATGTCGAAATAGTGTAGCAATTTCGGTTCTGGACTGTTAGCGGGGGGATTAACAGGGGAAGCGACTTTTTGTTTTCCACTTATACCTACGGCTGATGATATCCTACTATATATAAAAAAATAGTGTTTGTGTGTGTGTGTATAACACTTTGCATGCAACTTCCGTCAGGTTGTTCCAGTCGTATCTCAAGAAGGAGAGTAGTTAGGGTCATGTCTGATACGTCATTAGATGCATAATGTCCAGGAGATGACTGCACACACATCAGATTTATCAAAATCGTCTATTTTCGACATTAAATTTTAGTTTTTGTTGAAAAATCCGACGCCCTCTTTGTTAGGAATCAATTAGCATATACCGGAAAAGGGGAGAGCCTATATAAAGTAGCAGAGAGCGCATTTTTCACTTTTTTCAGCGTGGGTCGTGCCGAATTATGCAAAGTGTAAACTTTCATTGGGTTGGACGGGGCCAGGGTTGAAAAGTCGCGAAGCGGCTTTTCAACCCTGGTATTTATGTAATTGATAGTGTTTTTAATGGTTTTTGATTGCTAGAAAGTTTAAAAAATATGTTGAAAATGTTTCAAAATTCAAAAATTTTGACGTTTTGGTCATTTTTCATACATTTTTGACCAAAAATGCACAAATTTTAGAATTTTTTTTATTTTTGATCCGTGTTTATATATAAACTATGTAAAGTGTTATAAAAATGGTTTATATATTGCTATAATGCCGCAGAGAATCACAGGAAAAATTTGATCCCCCCCCCCCGCTAACCGTCCAGAGCCGGATTTTTAGCATACTAGCAGCTTTGATTTTCGGATTTTCCGGAAAAAGCAAAAAAGCGTGTCGTTTTTGTATGGAAAATGCCGAAAATCGAGCAGAAAATTCCGGAATTTCACAAAAATGCAAGAGCCCGGCTGGACTTGCCTTTGCGCGAGCTTTCGATAGATACCTAACTCGTCCAAATCGGACAAGACTGATTTTCTTGAAAAGTCCTTTTTCTTGGGACACCCAGTACAGTTGGATTTTCAGAAGTCGCATCAATGGCAGGGGATTGTTTCCCGGACGTGTCCGGCTGATGACGATAGATGGGCTCTGTTTAAACCCGGAAAGAGTGGGTCGATGGCTACTCCCGTCTGTCGCTCTTTATTTTCCGCCTATGCCTACCTGGCGCTAATCCACTTGGGGGGCAGTCCGGATTTTGAGTACAAAACTCTCCAACTGCCGTCTTTTAAGCTCGAAGCCTCCGGAAAAGCTCAGCTAAGCCTAAGCCTAGGCTTACCTTTCTGGCAAACGAGGCCTGAGCTTAGCTTGAGCCAAGCTAAGCGTAGCTTTAAGCTAGCCCCCCAAATAGTCCTATTTTGACGTCGTAAGGCAAGTTCAAGCTCAAGATGAGCTTAGGCTTAAGTCTTAGCCTAAGCCAGGCATAGTTAAAGCTAAATTAAGCCTAGGCTTAAGCTGAAATTCAAGTAGCTTTGGCGGAGCGTCTCGTAACCCTTTACTGCCAATTTCGGACTGCCCCCCCTAACTGCATTAGCACCGCCTACCTGTTAAGGGTCATAGTGCATTTATACACCCTTTTTAATAGTTTGTAGTTGCTAGGCAGGTGAAAATTTTGTAGTAGTCTTTTTCTGTTCTGTGTCTGTAGTTGTTTCTGATTTATCGACATTTTGACAGATTCGAAAGGCTTTTGCAAATTCGAAAGTTTTGCCTTTTCCGGTCTTTTTCGTAAATTTTGAAAAAACTCGCAAGAATGTGTGTGAATTTTTATGCTTTTTTTGTGAGTCTTTAGACCCAGAAAATCTTAAAAAATCTAATTTTAATAAAATCTCGATATCTCCATAGTGAGGATCAACGTTAAAGGGGCTCGGAAACCTGGGAAAGTTTCAGATTCCGAAACGCCCCCTGCCAGATTGCCTTCATTTCCAGGAGGGGCTGCGTTGTGAGCGATTGGTGGTGGGTGTGAAGAGCCGCGAAGGGGTCAATATCTGTGCTGCATACCCAAACAAACGACTTTTTCATGTCACGGACCTGGAGTGAGTAAGCTTCTTTGTTGTTTCAAAGTGCCTGGGAAGTCAACTTGCCTAAGACTAAGCCTAAGCTTAAGCCTAAGCCGCGGCTTACGCGCAAGCCGAGACCTAGCCTCAGCTGACGCCTAAGCCTAAGCCTAGCCTAAGCCTAGCCTAAGCCTAGCCTAAGCCTAAGCCTAAGCCTAGCCTAAGCCTAAGCCTAGCCTAAGCCTAGGCCTAAGCTTAAGCCTAAGCCTCGGCTTACGCCCAAGCCGAGACCTAGCCTAAGCTTACGCCTAGGCCTAAGCCGAGACCTAGCCTCAGCTGACGCCTAAGCCTAAGCCTAGCCTAAGCCTAAGCCTAGCCTAAGCCTAAGCCTAAGCCTAAGCCTAGCCTAAGCCTAAGCCTAAGCTTAAGCCTAAGCCTCGGCTTACGCCCAAGCCGAGACCTAGCCTAAGCTTACGCCTAGGCCTAAGCCGAGACCTAGCCTCAGCTGACGCCTAAGCCTAGCCTAAGCCTAAGCCTAAGCCTAAGCCTAGCCTAAGCCTAAGCCTAAGCTTAAGCCTAAGCCTCGGCTTACGCCCAAGCCGAGACCTAGCCTAAGCTTACGCCTAGGCCTAAGCCGAGACCTAGCCTCAGCTGACGCCTAAGCCTAAGCCTAGCCTAAGCCTAAGCCTAGCCTAAGCCTAAGCCTAAGCCTAAGCCTAGCCTAAGCCTAAGCCTAAGCTTAAGCCTAAGCCTCGGCTTACGCCCAAGCCGAGACCTAGCCTAAGCTTACGCCTAGGCCTAAGCCGAGACCTAGCCTCAGCTGACGCCTAAGCCTAGCCTAAGCCTAAGCCTAGGCCTAAGCCCAAGCTTCAGCGCCTCAAAATGGTCCATTTTTGTAAATTTAAAATTTTAGCAAGGATGAAAAATACGGAGCCCTGTTCGAGAAAGATGTCAAACAATCCATGCGGTACGTTTGAGTCCTAGGTTATGAAATTTCGACATTATGAATTTTTCGACCTTATGACATTTCGAAATTATGATTTTCTACTTTCTGATATCAAATCTAATATGGTCTTCAGGCGTTTCCGAATGAAGAGTGATCGTTATATGCACGCTTTTTGCCGGCTGCTATCCTCTTCTCGCGCCGTACAAGAGCTTCATGTCGGCATTGATTTCGAATTTTATGGCGTAAGTGGTTACCTTAGCTCCTTTTTGACAATAATCTTGCTGTGAAATGACGAAATACCGCCCTTTTTCACAATTGTCAATTCTTTTTTGACATGCAGTCAATAAATTGAAATTTGTTATAGTTTCGATGCAATTTTTGTATCTAAAGATCGAGTAGAATTCTATAAACATGGTTTTTTTATTCCGTTACCAGCGCCCAAAACCCGCTTCGCGGGCCTTGGGCGCTGGAATTGGGCCTTTGCATGAAAAATTTGACTTTCCGATAGCTCGGGTCCTTCGGACCCCTTCCCCCACCGACCACACACGCACGGGCAAATTGCAAGAATGAGGAAATTTGTATTTTTTTCATATTATGCAAATTACCCCCAAAAATGTATAAAACCGGCTTTAACTTTGTAAACTTGTATTTTATCGAAATTCTGAAAACGCCATCGGAAAGAGGAAGGTCGATTCCCCCAAGTGACAAAAAATCAGCGCATTTGGGACACGGGAAGGCCCTCAAATCGGGCCTCGAAAGTGACATCCACACACACACACAGAGATACACTCCAAAATTATATAAGGTAGGATAGGGAGTTTATTTTTTATTTTCAGTCGCCAACGGCCACCCCATTCAAGACGGAATATCAAAAGCTTTTGCTGCGACGCTTTCTTGAGATAAGCCAAACGAATGAATCTGCGAATATCTGTATTTAGGTGGAACCACGAAATCTTCCGGAAACGATGGTGACTGTCCAGGATCGAAAACGACACCCCGTGCCGGTATTTTCCTCCGAATACTTTCCGCTTCAACCAAATGCTTTCTTGTTTATCAGACTAATGACCAATTTTTCGTATCAACTAGGAGTTGCAGGGTCTTTTAAGACTCTTAGGGGGGAATTCTAGCGGGCAGAACCAAATTTTCCCTGTGATTCCGACGGCCCTATAACAAAATGTACAATCATCTTTAGAGCGTCTCGCATAATTTTTAGGGTAAACCAGGGTTGAAAAACCGCTTCGCGGCTTTTGAACCCTGGCCCCGTCTAGGACCGATGAAAGTCTTCAATTTGCATGCTTCTTCCCCAAAATCTATCAGGAAAAAAGTGAAAAACGGATCCTCTGTCGCTTTATATAGGCTATCCGACTTCCGGCTTATGCTAATTGATCCCTAACAAAGAGGGTGGGCGAGAATTTTACATAAATTTGTTTTTAATAGCGAAAATAGCAATTTTTCAAAGATTTTATGTGCGTGCAGTCGATTCCGGACCCTTCTTGACCTAATGACGTTTCTTCACTACCGAAAAAATGCTTCCCTGAGGCTGTAGGTGCGGAACATCCTCACGGAAGTTGCATGCAAATGCACACACACACAGACACTATTTTTTTATATATGGTAGGAAGTAGGATAGTAGGATACTTGCTGTGCCGATTTTCGCTGTGCCGATTTACAGTATGCCGATTATTGGTATGCCGCATTTTCGCTATGCCGAATTTCGCTATGCCGAATTTTCACTATGCCGAATTTTCACTATGCCGAATTTTTGCTATGCCGAGTTTCGCTATACCGAATTTTCACTATACCGAATTTTCGCTATGCCGGGTTTCGCTATACCGAATTTTCACTATACCGAATTTCGCTATGCCGAATTTTTGCTACACTACTACTAATAATCTCTACTAATATTAATAACTAAGATCGGCTGGGACTTTGCGGTGCAACAAAAAATCTGCTGCGCCTACGTGGCCTACGATCTGCCCGAGTTTCTGAAAATTTCTAGGCTAACTCTAACTTTCTAGGCCCATGATATTTGGAGAAATAGTAAAAAAAATAGGGAACATACCGCATATCAAAATTGGTATGGCGAAGATTCGGCATGGTGAAAATTCGGTAACCAAAAATTCGGCATAGCGAAATTCGGTATAGTGAAAATTCGGTATTGTGAAAATTCGGCATAGCGGAAATCGGCATAGCGTCAATCGGCATAGCAAAATTCGGCATAGCGAATGGAACTCATTTTTAGATACAAAATAATCTAGAAACAAAAAATTTTCAAAAATTTTGGATTTTTTTTTGAACAATGTATGAAATCCCAAAAAAGGTCAATATTTCCGAATTTTGAAAATTTTAACCCCATTTTTAATGACTTTCTAGTAATGAAAAACCACAAAAAAATTTTGGACTTTTTACGTTTGATTTAGACAGCACATTTGCTGAAGAAGATGCGTGCTGTGGGGGAAATTGGGATGGAATCTACGCGGATAAAGATCTGGCCACACGTGATCAGCATGCTCGACTGCCGTCCCGACGTGCTCATCACGCATGAGGTGCCTCTTCGCACATTGTTCACATGCCCGGTTTCCTGGCACAATCTCGGGTGCTTTTGAACTTCCGGCTGAACTCCAGATAACCCCTACCCGATTTCCGTTCATTTCGCCGATTTTCCTTTCGCCCACGCTTATTTCGCCGATTTTTCCGTTCGGCGATTTTCATCGCGCCGAAAAGATGAATAGTGGCAGCGTTTCTAAATGGTTTTTTACTATTATTAAACGAGAAAACTCTTCAAATTTTTATTAAAAAACATCAAATAAATCGATTTTTCGACAAAAAAACGCCGATTTTTCGACCAAAATCTCGACCATTTTCGACATTTTTGGAAATTTTTTTGATCGTTTTACTGACTTACTAGGCATTTCTAGACTTCTGCTAAAAAGTTCAGTCCCCCCCCCACCCGAAATGCGAAAGAGCCGAAATCCCAAAAAAATCTTCAAGATCGGAATTTGGAACGTCAGAATCGGAAATTCTTAGATTTCGAATTTTCCTGTGAAAATCGAAGATTTTCAAATTCGATATTCTGGGTGACAAAATTTCGATTTTCGAGATTTTGACACTACGACACGAATACCGTATTTCCTGTCATATAGCGTCGGTTTGCCGATTTTCTGTCGAAATCGAAAAGGACAGGCGGGAATTCTAAAATTCCATGCCCTCAAAACAGGGGATCTCAGCTTCGAATGCCAGACACGCCGTCAAAAGTTCTATGGCGTAAGAAAAGTTGCCTGACCTTAGGTTTATGTTAATAAAACGGGGAGGAATACGACAGATCGCCTAGGAGTAAATACATACACGTATTTCAGTTTTCGTGGAAGGAATCGTTTGGAGAAATGCCGGAACGCCGACAGGTACATTTTGCTAGAGACAACAAGCCTAAGCCTAGGCCCTAAACCCTAAGCCTAACCTAAGCCTAAGCCCTAAGCCTAAGCCTAAGCCTAAGCCTAAGCCTAAGCCCTAAGCCTAAGCCCTAATCCTAAGCCCTAAGCCTAAGCCCTAAGCCTAAGCCCTAAGCCTAAGCTTAACCTAAGCCTAAGCCTAAGCCTAAGCCTAAGCCTAAGCCTAAACACTAAGCCTAAGCTTAACCTAAGCCTAAACCCTGAGCCTAAGCCTAACCTAAGCCTAAACCCTGAGCCTAAGCCTAACCTAAGCCTAAGCCTAAGCCCCGCATTTTAAATTTTCGCAGCAGATAACTGGATTTTGATTGGCATAATGTGTCTGTTTATCTTATCAAATCTATTCAGAACCAGCTACGTGCGATGGAAATGCGTCGCGATCTCGGGTTACCATGGCCCAATCAAGCTGTGATGTGGACCGCACCCTTATTTTTACATCTTGATGAGCCGCTTGAGGTATCCTCGCCGTACCGATCTAACGAGCTCCGGCTATATCGATACTAATCAAAGCGCCGGTGATGAACCAAGTCATTCTCGCGCGCTCTGTCTTTCTGACGCTGTCTCTGGCTCTGACTCTCTCAATCTCTCTACCTCGGTTTCCCTCTCATTGTCTCTCTCGCGCTCTCTCCCTCCCTGTCTCTCTCTCTCTCTCTCTCTCTCTCTCTCTAACAATCTTGTCCCTCACACGCTGCTTGTCTCTCTCACACTCTCTCTGTCTCTCTCTCCCTCTCACTCTCACTCTCACTCTCTGTCTCCCTCTCACTTCCTCTCTCATCGGCGAGAGGAACGATCCTGTTCCTCTCGCTCTATCTCTCCATCTGGCTTTCTCGCAATATTTCGCTTCATCCCAATCGTCAATAACTGATCGCAACGCGTTGATTAAATGCATCTGAAAGCGTCATTTTTGGCGGTAGGGTAAATTTATAGTTTTGTAACGCTACTTACATCAAGCTTCGGGCCAAGACGGGCACGCGGAACATGCGTCATCTCCCCTACAGTGCTTTTGCAGGATATATTGCAACGTTGTGCGACGCTGCGGCCCGGCCGCCTCTACACCTACGCGGCTCCGCCATGGCCGGAGCAGCTCGATCCGGGAAATGAAGCCGTGGTGAGTCGTTTTGTCTTTTAACGGGGGGGACTAATTTTCCCCCAATGGTTTGGTACGGCCCTATACCGAAATATAATCAAATTTATAGTATTTTATACGATTTCCAGATGTAAAAATAGTATTAAAAAATGCGAACATTTTTGACTTTTTGGTCAAAGATGAATGAAAGTGACCAAAAAAGGCACAAAATTTAGAATTTTCTAAAACAAATGTATAGCTTGCTATCAAACTGGCACTATTAAACACAACCAGGGTTGAAAAACCGCTTCGCGGCTTTTCAACCCTGGCCCCGTCTAGGACCTATGAAAGTAGTGACTTTGCATAATTCTTTCCGAAGACCGATCACCAAAAATGAAAACCACGCCCTCCCTTGCTTTTTATAAGCCATTTCCACTTCCGGCGTATGCTAATTTTTCCCTAACAAAGAGGGAAGCCAAGATTTTTACAAAAACTTAATTTTAATGGCGAAACTAACAATTTTTCGAAGATTTTATGTGTGTGCAGTCGATTCCGGACCCTTCTTTACCTAATGACCTTTCTTCCCGCCCCAAAAAATGCTTCCCTGAAGCTGTAGGTGCGGAACATCCAAACGGAAGTGCATGCAAATATACACACACACACACACACACAAACACTATTTTTTTATATATAGTAGGATATAAAATTACTTTATCGATTATCAATAGGGACAGGCGTAAAAATAAAAATTAGCGCCCCCCGTTAACAGGGCAGCACCGTCATTTTAACAGCCTTCCAACCACGCCCAGACGGCATTTCATTAACGTTTCAGACGTGGCTGCGTGACATCGGCTTGGAGGCCTGGGATGATAATGATGGCTGTCAGCATCTTCGCGAAAGATTCGAGCACTTCTTCGCCAAGGTTCTTTTTTGGCTGGTTCGGCTAGACTTGCATTAAATCGAACCGAATTAGCTCCAGAAAAAGCATTACTCCGATAATGGTTTTTAGAAGCATGGAAGCGAAATGGAGAGCTGGTTTTTCCGCTGCCCTTACCCTAACCATGGTCAGGATTGATTTTTTGTTCTTTCACCTTATCGGGGAACCGATTTTTTTCCGTACAAATCCAGAAATGCCTAGTCCTATCCTACCTTATATAATTTGGTATCTTTGTGTGTGTGTGTGTGTGTGTGTGTGTGGATGTCACTTTCGAGGCCAGATTTGAGGCCCTTCCCGTGTCCAAAATGCCCTAATTCTTCGTCACTAGGGGGAAACGACCCTCCTCTTTCCGATGGCGTTTTCAGAATCCCGATACAATACAAGTTTACAAAATTAAAGCCGATTTTATTCATTTTTAGGGGTCCGGGAGGGCTAATTTGCATAATGTCAAAAAATACAAATTTCCTCATTCTTGCGAGTTGCACTCGCGAGTTTGGTAGGGTGGGGGTCCGCGGGACCCGAGCTATCGGAAAGTCAAATTTCTCATGCAAAGACCGCATTCCAGCGCCCAAGGCCCGCGAAGCGGGTTTTGGGCGCTGGTAATTTAATAGTTCGCTTTCAATTGTGTTTTTTTAACATTTAAATATCCTTCTAACGAAAAACAATTGAAAAGAACCTCAGAAGATAAGAATTTTTTCGGCGAGTTATTGGGCGAACACCAGCCGTTTGGCTCGAAAATTAAAATTTTTGGTATTTTTAATGAGAATACGTTTTGGAAGAGTAACAATAGTTAAGAAAAGGTAAGTAAAAAAGTGGTAACGTTTAGAAACACTTCCTCTATTTATATGAGAAAAAGGAGATCCTTAAAGGGATAGTGCAGCCTTGAAGCCTGGGCAGTACCTTGGGTGACTATCGACACAGGGGCTACACAGGCTAGCCGGTCACCCTACGTCGATAGTCACCCAAGGTACTGCCCAAGCTCCAAGGCTGCACTATCCCTTCAAAGAAAGTCTGTTCCCCCGGATAAACACCCCCCCCTGATAATGAAAAAGTCCCAATTTAGTGGTCGAATTTTGCAATTTAGATGTAAGGGTGATGATGCGACTGCATGCGCCAAAGGAAAGGCCCGGGATCCAAATCCGCTGGCTGACCGTCTCTTTCATGAACATCTCGCATCGGAAGGCCTTCGAATAAATGCCGCTTTCTCTAGTTACCTGCGAATCAGCCTGATTTGGTACAAATATACATGACAAACATTTTAAATTATTAACATTACTAAAAACTTGCGATGGCGATGCATCGAAATTACACTGCGTGCTTTAATTTTGGCCCGAAATGCCTTACTTTAACAATATTACTTTACTACAGGGTGTCCCACAAAAACGAACCATCTGGCGTTTCGCCGTGTTACATCCAATCGGCCCCAAATTTGGACCAGAGGTGTAACAGACCCTAAATAACAACAATCCTGAGTTTTAGCCTCGTAGCTGCAGTTGTTCTAGAGTTATAACGAAAATACTGTTTTTTCCGCAAATTTAAACATTTTTTCGGCAATCTTTTTGGACTTTGCATCGACTTTCGGCTGCGAATCCCTAATTTCGCTACAGAAATGGGTAATTTTGCGTTGTAAAATCGCTTAAATCGCGCCTTATTTAATTAATTTACTCTGGAAAAAATTTATTAAGGTAAAGAAGGCCTACCGGATGATTTTCGCTTAATGTTTAAAAAGTCTAATTCCGGGAAAAGCCTGTGAAAAATGGAAAATGGAGTTTGTTTTTGCCATAACTTTAAAACTACTGTAGCAATGGGGCTAAAAGTCAGAATTGTTGTTATTTAAAGTCTGATACACCTCTGGTCCAAATTTGGGGCCGATTGGATGTAACACGGCGAAATGCCAGATGGTTCGGTTTTTTTGGGACACCTTGTCTACCGAAAACGTAAAAAATAAAACATTCCCCCCCCCGCCATGGCCGACTGCGAGCACGGGCACGCGGATTTCTCTCTCTCTCTCTCTCTCTCTCTCTCTCTCTCTCTCTCTCTCTCTCTCTCTCTCTCTTTCTCTCTCTCGCTCGCTCTCTCTATCTCTCTCCTTCTCTCTCGCCCGCTCTCTCTATCTCTCTCGCTCTCTCTCTCTCTCTCGCTCTCTCTCTCCCTCTCTCTCTCTCCCTCTCTCTCTATCTCTCTCTCTCTCTGTCTGTCGCTCATCCCTCTTCATTTCCAGGTCCGCCAAACCTCGGCCGACGACTGCGATGAGTCATATCCGTTTTGTAGATGAGTACATTTCGTTTCACAAGCGGAGGCTACCGGCCTAAATCCAAAAAGCCGCGTAGAGGGTTGCGGAACAGAGGGTTAGGCCTAGGCTTCGGCTTAAGCTTACATTCCGAAGGCCGACAAGCGTACGCCGACAGATAAAACTTCGACAACCACCTCCCACCTCGACACTGGGTTATTTTCAAAATGTCGAAATTCATAATGTAAAAATTCGGGGGGAGGGCATGCCACGGGTACGGCGGACCCCCCCGCCCCGCCCCACCCCCGGACGCCTGCTCCCTCCTCAAAACGTGCGCTATCTTGTGCACACACACTCGCTCCTCCTCCTGGGCCACTGCCAAAATGTTTGTTTGTTTTTAGATTTGCCTCTCCTTTCCTAATCCATTTTCCAAATTTCCCATTGAACCTTAAACAGATGATTTCGGGAGACTGTTCGGCTCTTCGCCGACCCCAAGTACGGCTCAGCGTCTTGTAGGAATATTCCCAACCGGGCGTTTCAAACCTGAATATTTCATCCCCACATTTAATATTTTAATCGATTGGTTTTTTTTGTTGTCCTCTTGGTGCTAAAGGGGGAGCGCAGTCCGAAATTGGTAGTGAGCGGTTACGACGTCTTGAGCCACTTGGTTTTTAGCTTAAGCCTAGGCGTAAACTTAGCTTTAACTATGCTTAGCGTAGGATCGGACTTAAGCTGAAGCCCAAGCCAAGCTTATTTTCGACCTATATTACCTTATCAGGTCAAACTGAGGTCATTTAGGGCCTAGCGTAGAGCTAAGCTTAGTTAGATTGACCGAAGCCAAGCACAGCCTCGTTTGTATCAAGCTATGTTTAGGATTAGGCTTAGCTTAACTTTTCCGACGGCACAGAGTTTAAAAACGGCATTTGGAGCGTCTCGTAGTCGAAATTCCGATTGCCCCCTCGACAAAGATTAGCACCGTCTTCTTTTTTGTAATTACTTCAGCTTGTTCTCTAGATACAATTAGATACTACTACTTTTTAAGCCTCTATTTTTGAGGTTTTTGGCCCAGTTTTGGGGGCTGTTGTAGCGGAACCAGGGAACCGGAGGGTAAAATGAAAACTACCGCAATCGACGCAGAATTTTTTTTTTGTCGCAAACGGCCTTTCAGACGGTAATATATGTATCTTTAATGTATGTCTGTAATGGACCGATGGCCTTTCGAATAATTTCTTCTGGGTCACGGGGGCAGATGGTCTAATGGAGTGCGCTTTTTCACTTTTTGCGATCGGTTCTCGAGCCTACCTATTCTCCCCCCCCCCTCCCCCTCCTACCCCTCCCCTCCATTTGGAGGTTTACCTACCCCTTACTTTTTCCGATAAACCCAAAATGCTAATGCACTTACTAGGGAGGTCCAAAATACCCGCAACACGGATCGGGCTGAAAGTTTGTACACTTATAGAATCGACCACGCTGATAATCGCCTCGTTTTCCGAATTTGCTACAGAACCTTAAAATTTGAGATACTAAAGTTTTAGTGTCATTTTTGGGTCCCCGGGAAGGGGTTTGTCAGGATACTGAATCTTTTTTTTGTGTTTTTCTAGTTATTTTAAGTAGCCGGTCTGATAGAGAATTTTTTTCTGATCCGAATGGTATTTTTTTGTTAATGCGCAAAGGACCTGGACGCTATCCTACAGCTGCTTGAAGTAGGCTGTTTTCTACCAATTCCCATAGTAAATTCGGAGTCCACACCATATCGTCAATTTTGCCAATTTTTCGGGTTTTCGAAAATTTTGAGTTAGACGGCTCATTCGAAAGAGATAATTTTTCTGATTCCGATGGCGATGCTTGTTTTTCGGAATCTGCCAAAAGGTCAAAATAATCCAGTCCGAAGTTCGGCAATTTTAACTAAAGAATCTACTTAAAACTTTAATATCTCAAATTTTAAGGTTCTTTAGCAGATTCGGAAAACGAGGCGATTATCAGCGTGGTCGATTCTATTAGTGTACAAATTTTCAGCCCGATCCGTGTTGCGGGTATTTTGGACCTCCCTAGTTAGAGGCGCCCCAAATGCCGTTTTTAAACTTTAGGCCTCTGGAAAAGCACCGTTAAGCCTAAGCTTGGGCTTGGCTGATACCAACGAAGCTCTAGCTTAGCTTAGCTTGCTCTAGCTTAGTTTTTCTAGACTAACCCCTGTATGGCGTCATTTTGACCTCATTGACTTAAGCTTAAGCCAAAGTCTAAGCATAATTAAAGCCAAGTTAAGCCTAAGCTGAGGCCAAAAACCGAGTAGCTTAAGCGGAGCGCCTCGTCATTTCTTACTACCCTTTTTGGTCTGCCTCCCCCCCCCCTAACTGCATTAGCACCAAAGTCCGTATTTTGAAAATTTTGAAAATACCCTAAATGTCGAAAATCGGTTCCGTCCACCTGGTTATTTTATGTGGATTTTTTTAACTTTTACATTACATTGGAACTGAACTCAATCTTCTGACGTTATCCCTGAATTGTCTCTAAAAAAATCAGCCCTGTTTGCAGGACCCTTTAGCCAGCCACGGATCAGTCTGACGAGGCGGAGCTACCGTATTTTATGGAGGTATGTGGATTATTCCTGGGCGAGCCTCCAAAACCCGCATCGCGGCCTGAAAAACCCACTTTCTAAGGCTCCAGTTCGTCTATGGAAAAGCAAGACTTTTTTTTGCTATCCCTAGACGTAAAAACGTTGCAAATTTCCATTAAAAAAAAGAAAAAAAATATTGATTGTTTGACAAAAAAATTGTTTCCAAGTTCCTGCTTGTTCTTCACATGAAATAAAGTTTCTAAATTTTACGAATAACACCATTAAAATGCGTTCTATGGCGTTGTTAGGTGTTTCTGGGCCTACAGCGAAAAAAAATCTGTTTTCTCCTCCGACCCCCCCCCCCCCGATAGTGCGCAAGAACCAACCTTGTAACCCGGTTTTTATCGACCTTTTTGTCGAAAGGTTATCGGAAAACGGGGACGATTATTACTTCAAAAATCATTACTTCGAAAAACGTTACTTCTGAAAGTTGGTACGTCGGATTATCAGCCTTTCGGCACGTATGGCGATATTTATGTCCAAATCGACGCTTAGAATTTTAGAAGTACTGACTTTTAGAAATAATGATTTTCGAAGTGACGGTGGGTGGCCGCGGAAACGAAGGCTTTTATTCACTCCTTCAGAGCGCCGCGCAAAACATGGAGCAATTTACCCGCCCCCACCGAAACCCTGACACGGTGTGGCACGTACTCACGGAATGGGGCGGACTGTCGCTGTCGGATGAGCTGGGAAACGAGTCGTTTTGTAAGTCTTTAAGAAGGCCACGGTTCTGCCCGTTTATAAGCCTAAGCCTGCAGCCTAAGCCTGAACCTTCCGGCGCAAATGGTCATTTTTGCTAGAAAATTCAATCTGTTTTTTGCACCTTTCATGAAAATTTGTAAGGCTTTTGTAAAGCCCTTTGTTTATATCAGAAAAATTGGAATTGGTATCATAATATCAAAATTTCACAATGTCGAAATTCCATAATGTCGAAATTCAGAATGTCGAAATTTACATAGGCTAATATTACCAGTGAAACCGCCAAATCCCCGCCAAAAAAAATTTTTCCACATTCTATTTTTTTATTTTATTTCACGACAACATTTTTTGCCTAGAATTCGGGGACTTTACCGGGAATTTTAGCTTACGTAAATTTCGACATTCTGAATTTCGACATTCTGACATTTCGACATTCTGACATTTCGACATTATGAAATTTCGACATTATGAATTTCGACATTTTGAAAAAAAAACCGAAAAATTGAATCCTTAGGAACAAAGTTGGACGCACCGCACCCCCGAAAATCCAAAAGATCCGAAGCCGTGTACAAATTTTTTGGGCAGTTGATCATGGTCAGCCGCAGAGCTGGCACGAACACATCAGCGAAGCCGCTCGAAAAGAGATGAGGAAGAAGATTGTCGAGGCGTGTGCTGATCTACGCGCCGCGATGCCGCGTGAGGACAAGTTTTTGACCATTTTTCGTCATTTTTCATGCGTTTTTGTGCAAAAAGCCAGCGTCTTCCAAAATTTTCTCATTTTATTGAATGCTGGAATCCCCCGTTTTTCAGTCGACGAATTCTGGGCCGCGCACTGCGAAAAACTGTGCTTCCGCGAGTCGGAAACTGTTGAGGAATACTACGAGAGCGTCGCGTACAAGATTTACCTCGAGCAGCGCCAGCAGGAGGTTAGAATGGGCATCATTTCCCTCCTGCATTTGCCCGTATTGCGATCGGTCCCCGAAAATTGGGCCAGGCATGTATCAGACCTGTATCAGACCACAAGCCTCAGTTATAGCCGCTTCGCGACTTTTCAACCCTGGCCCCGTCTAGCCCCCATAATATTCTTCACGCTGCATACGTTTCGCCATTCCGTTAAGAAAAATGAAAAATTTCACTCTCTCGCTCATTATATAGGCTTCCCCTTACGCGAATTCTCCCCCGCAAATACACAAGAACCAAATATTGTAAATTCCAAGGTCTCCAACATAGCTTGTCATAGGTAATTTGGCGAAATGAAGATTCACCGGCGATAGGGAATCGTTGGGGGAACCCCGCCATTAAACTAAAAACACCGTAATTGCGAGAATGAAACTTTGCTTTCAGATAACCACAACCATGAAATTATTCCGAATTTAGCGAGGTCGCTCCACGCTGCGCGCCCAGCTGACGGCCGTCCGAGAAAGTGGCGAGACAATTCGCGAGGGTGTGCCGCAACCCATCTTGCTCAGGTCGGCGAGCATTCGATAGATCGTCAAAAAATATCTATCTCCTACTATCTCCGCTTCAAAACATCCAATTTCAGCAACGACATCGAGGAGCTCCGGCGATACGTCGAGGAGGGCATTTCACTGGTCGACTGTGTCCCTTTGGTGGCGGAAGAGCGGAAACGTGTCAGAGGGACAAGGCGGGCCCTGCTCACCCTCATACATGAGATCGAGTCGAAGTGTCGACGTCTCTACCACATAAACCCATTGGTAGGCTCTTCATCATGCCGAGAATTGACTTCACCCCCCCGAACCCGAAGGACTCAAGAAAATTCGAGGTTTTCAGTAATTTTTCGGAACTTGCTTCGCGCAATTCGATAGAGCGTCGAAAAATATACCCAGAGTTTTTATCCCGGATCAAAATCACGCAAAATAAAAAAGGTATAGCAAAAACCGCCGAGGGGTTTGCTGCTGAAAATGTCCCCTCCCCCGCTAAGAGTCTAGAACCTAATTTTCGAAACTTGAATTTAACGCCTAAGGTTTTCGACATTTTCAAAGTACCCACCCCCCCTGTCTCGCGCGCCGCGCTACGAATGAGAAGTTCCGTTTCTAGGCAGGGCGATCCGAGGCACTGGCGAGGACAGCCACGAATCGCTCCACCATCGAATACGTTGAGTGGAAAATGGGCGAATTGACGTTCAGAAGCCCGCGCCCGGTGGTCCATCACACAATGGCATTGTTCACCGCTGTCTTGTATCGCTATGTGACTGGGTGAGTTATCATTTCGGAATTGAGGGCAGGCTAGCAGGGATCGTTTCGGAATTGAGGGCAGGCTAGCAGGGATCATTTCGGAATTGAGGGCAGGCTAGCAGGGATCATTTCGGAATTGAGGGCAGGCTAGCAGGGATCATTTCGGAATTGAGGGCAGGCTAGCAGGGATCGTTTCGGAATTGAGGGCAGGCTAGCAGGGATCGTTTCGGAATTGAGGGCAGGCTAGCAGGGATCGTTTCGGAATTGAGGGCAGGCTAGCAGGGATCATTTCGGAATTGAGGGCAGGCTAGCAGGGATCATTTCGGAATTGAGGGCAGGCTAGCAGGGATCATTTCGGAATTGAGGGCAGGCTAGCAGGGATCATTTCGGAATTGAGGGCAGGCTAGCAGGGATCGTTTCGGAATTGAGGGCAGGCTAGCAGGGATTATTTGGGATCGGGGGGGCGAAAGGCAGCCTGTGGACTTTTTGAGGGCCTGGGCCCAAAAAGCCCCAAAAATGCATGAATAGAAGATTCCAGACATGAAATTGGTATGCCTAAACAGAAACCGGTGAAACGGCGATCGGCACAACCATCACGTAATATTACCCTTTTAGGTGCTCCGACGAAGAAGCCAGCAAGTACGGCTTCGACGCCGCGTACAATTTCTTCCATAGTGCAGATGCGGCGCAAGTGAGGGACTGTTTCAGCATGCGGCTGGAGCAACTCGTTTGGATGAAAAAGTGCCGTGAAGAGGAGCAACAGTTAGAGACGGATTTTGAATTGACGCTAGACACCCGGCCTCATTGGGGTCCAGGAGCCACAAGGTTCATTTACTTGAGCCCTGAAATGAACAAGGCGTTGACCGGATACGAGGAGGTGGCCCACCTCGTGTTCGAAGCTGGGCAGGTCCGTCCATTCAACGAGATTCCCCGACGACCGAAAAGTGCGCTCGAGCTCGGAAAAGCGCGAGCAAAGGGGCTAGTGCTGGAGAGCATGCGGATTCTTCGTGACATCCAAGAAAAATGGAAGAAGGAATCGAAAAATGGAGCTGGACAGCAGACGGCCGAAGGCGTCGTTCACGAACAGCTCCATCACGTTCGGCGACCAGACAAAGCTGAGTTAGTCGAAGCACCCCTCACGGAATCGCCAAATGCCAAGCGGGCGTAAAGCCGAAACGCCAAACCATAAACCGGTCTCGAACTACGGTGCTTTCGCAATATCCAAGGCAATGGGAGCTTATTTTTGGCCACCAATCCAGAAAGCCATAGTAAGGTAATAGTAAGTAAGTATTTGATTAGTCCTTAGTAAAGCTGAACGAAATTTGAACAACTATTTAAAGGCCTAGAAAACCATTTTGGTTGCCAATTGTGGTCAGAACCGGCCGCTTGGTTCGGAAAATCGACATTCCTTGTATTGTTCATAATAATTTCTGATAATTTTTTGCGTTTACGGATGGTTAAACATGGCTTTAGAAACGCTTTCTTTATTCGTATTAAAACAAATTGGAGCCGAAAAAAAATTGGTTTCTCCTCACTACAACTCTCACCCCCCCGATAATGCGAAAGCACCCGAATTCCCAAAACTTTTCTGGTACCAATGGTCCCTCAAGAAACCTGCAGCAACAGAAACATTCTTCCCGCCCGCTACCGATTTGCATTCATTTCAACGATCTTTATCTCCATGATGCCTCATTTCGACGATTTTTCACTTCGCCCATCACATTTCGTCCATTCGTTTTGTCTTTGCCATAAATAAATAAGCCTTTTTCAGTACATCAGAGTCAGGGAAAGCGATAGATACAGGGTGTCCAGTACACGGTGTTTACAAAACCCTAATTTTGATAGCGAAAATAGCAATTGTTCGACGATTTTATGTGCGTGCAGTCGATTCCGGCCCCTTTTTTACCTAGTGACATTTCTTCCCGGTCGAAAAAAGGCTTCCCTGAGGCTGTAAGTGCTGAACAACAGCACGGAAATTGTATGCAAATGCACACAGACAAACAGACACTATTTGGAGCTATTGATGTTTGGGGGTGGGGGGCATCTGTTTTGGGCCCAGGCTTGGTTTTGGCTTAACTTCGGTTTATTCTGGGCTTCGCCTAGGCTTGGCTTATCCCTAGCTTAGACTTAGCCTAGACCTAGCTTAGGGTTTGCTTGGGTCATGCTTCGGCTGAGTTTGGATCGGTCAGCTTATGCTTGGAGACAAGCTTAGGCCGGAAAAAGCCCCCCAAAAAGAAGATGACCCTCCCCCCCCAAACATCAATAGCTCCCACTATTTTTTCTATATAGAGTAGGAAAATAGGATAATAGGATTGCAGGCTAATTTCGCATGCACAGCATCCGAACCGGGCGTTAGTAGTTTTCTGTTTTTGGTTTCGTGTGGTGCTCCGCACGCTGCACAATGATTAAAGTATTTTGATGTACCTCTGCCTTGAAAAAGCCACGAAAAAGGAGGGGGAGGAGAAAAAGAAAGGAGCGTTTTAGCCCGACAAGCCGTACTTGCCGAAGTTGACGCGACGCTAAAATCGTTATATCTCGTTGAAAACTAAGAGTTGGTGTTTGCCAAGGACATCATTGGAAAGAGCGCTAAAAGTTCTACCACGACCCCCGAGTGACAGCGTCTGTACCACCTTGGCCACGCTGCTACGGCCGTTGCAGTAAAACGTCACGAAATCGTTCGCCGACCTCAGCAACCTCGAAGGAATGCTACCAAACAACCCCCTAATAAGTAGCAAGCTGATTGGCTTCGAAAAGTGAAAACTGCTCGAAAATGATGTTCATCTACTTTTGGCCCCAGAGGTTCAGGGGCACCTGTTAAATTTGCGTTTTTCACGCTCTTTCCAACGGTATACTTAACGTTGCAGAAAACCCTCTGGGGAAATAGAAAGGAGCGTTTTAGCCCGACAAGCCGTACTTGCCGAAGATGACGCGACACTAAAATCGCTATATCTCGTTAAAAACTAAGAGTTGGTGTTTGCCAAGACCACCATTAGAAAGCGCGCTAAAAGTTCTACTACGACCCCGAGTGACAGCGTCTGTACCACCTTGGCCACGCTGCTACGGCCGTTGCAGTAAAACGCCACGAAATCGTTCGCCGACCTCAACAACCTCGACGGAATGTTACCAAACAACCCCCTAATAAGTAGCAAGCTGATTGGCTTCGAAAAGTGAAAACTGCTCGAAAATGATGTTCATCTACTTTGGTCCGACTAATTCGTGGATTTTAGCATTTGTAACATAAAACCCTTTTATGATTTTGTGAAATAGGCAAAGCCATCGATGCATTTTGCATGATATCAATCAAGTGGCTATCAACTGAATCACTTTCATCAAACTGAATCACTATTTTATTGAGCCGAATAACTTTTAAAGAATATCGGCTGTTGATAGCTCCATTAATTGGGACTCCGCGGATCTTATCCAGGTGTGCTGGCGCGCGCCCTTCCGGCAGATGTCCCAGCGGAGGGTAAAGCCGAGTGCCCAGTTTGGCGTCGAAGCACGCATATTTGTTTACCTTTTTCCAGAGTAGTGGAGGGGTTATTCAAATCAAATCTTGAGGCAAACCAGGTTTCTACCATACTTTATTACTCTTCTTCTTATCTAACTCTTTTTAGAGTTATTTAAACTTTCTTATACTTTCTATTACCTTTTCCAGAGTAGTGAAGGGCTTATTCAAATTAAATCTTTAGGCAAATCGGCCATCATAAAATTAGCATAAGCGTGAGCCCGTGACTTTTTTCAGCGACTTTCAAATCCTCGGTCAAATCTCCAGATTCGAACTCAAACCTAAACCTTATTATTCAAATCAAACCAACAGATTTGGTTCGGCTGACGCAAATTAGGTTTGAGATTTGAATGATACCTTTACCATTCCAGACCAAATCGCGCGCGGCCTGGCTTATTAATTATATCGTACGCTTGTAATAACATGTCGTAAGGTCGCGACTTCAAATCAGATTTTGCTCCTCCTAAATTTCAAATTTCAAAAATGAGTTTTGATCCTGATAATTTTGTGCTCTGCAACCTCAAATTGACCGAAACCCGTTGAGCCCATTTCACCTTCTCGTTCGTAGCAATTGTGTCATTAGTGCGTCCAGGCGGGTGGGATTTGAATTTGACGCTGAATGCGTGGATCTAGTAATCCCCCGTACCCGTGACCGGAATTTAGATAGCTTCAGCTGAATTGTGATTAATCCTCATATACCGTTTCCGTTTCTTAGCTGTTATTTTCTTTGTTTTGATGGTGATTTTGGACTATTAAGAGTTTTCAGGCACCACGTAGACCCGACCAACAAAACGGCGATCTTCCGATGGCCGATCAGAAGAGAGCGTCACATGAGTCCGCTTCAGCGCCGCCATCCGATAGGGGAGAAGAAGAAGCCATCCGAGGAGAAGCCGGGAGGTAAATTTTAGACTTTCTTTTATTTTCGGCCGATTCCCAGTCCGGTAACGCCGTCGAGATACCTTACTAGCTTTTGGCGGTTTTCTGTTTTAGCCCCTTATTTTATGTCATGCTCAATTCCGCTTTAGTTCGACGAGTCATGCGAGCGTGTCAAGCCCAGATCTCCATGTACTGCCGATGGCGACGGCAGCCAACACGAGGTGCAGATGGTCGCTTTTGTCGTGCTCATTTCCGCTTTAGTTCCCTCAGTGAGGTGCAGGGAGAGCCAGACCGACATCCGCAATTGGTGGCGCCCGTGGACCCGAGGTGCAGATAGTCGCTTTTTTCAAAGTTGTTTTGTTCAGATCTCGTCTTCGTTTTATCGACTTGGATAATGAATATTATATCCGGATTTTTTGCAATCTCGAGCCAAGAGAAGTCGAAAGGTGACTTTGTGGGCTTCATTTCAAGATTCTTTTTGCAGGTTTCGCCTCATCAACCGCACAATCTGCAACCTCATTGATGCCAGCCGTACATCCCTCCCCCGGCTGCGCCTTCATCAAGTGGAAGTTCGAGAAACGAGGGTTGGTTTCACACATTTATACTTTAGGATTCGCGGAGTGGGACCAACTTTCTTATTTTGGCCATAATGCTTTTAGTTTCGTAGTTGAGTTGTGGTTTAGTTTAGTTTTTTAGTAAATTTTAGCTATGATTGGAGTCGACAAACTTGCTAAAAGGTTGGAGAAAAGCTTGAAATTTTCGAAAATTTGAACCTTTTTGGTCAGCTTACAGGTTTATTTTGGAGCGAAACGTCTAAAATTTTTATGTTTTCGATGGTCCTTTTCAATTGAAAAACTGTGTAAAATTCTATAAAAATAGTTTTATTTTGTTATAGGACCGGACAGGATTACTGGGAAAAAATTGTTTCCCCTGATAAATATCCCCCGCCTGCTAGCAGTTCAGTACCAAAAAAATTAGGCTCTAAAAATTGGTTACCCCCCGCCCCCGCTAATCCTAAGTAGCCAGATATTTTTGGTCTTTTCCGCTTTAACAATCACATTTATTACAGATAAATCTCTGGCGATTTGAAAGTGGCTATCGAACTGTCGACGAATCAATATTTGGAGACGTTTACGGGTTCCTATTCCACGTCAGGAATCGGATGCAAATCGGTCGCCTTGTCCTGGTGAGGAATTATTATGCAACTCCTTGATAAAGAACTTGATCAGGACGATGCCGACATAAATCTACTCTCTACCCTCTATTTCCGCGTTGATCATCTACTTCTGGTCAGCAACATGAGACCATTGAATAACGGCGTCTTGGATAGAGTTCTACAAGTGCAGCGCATTAGCAGATTAACTCTGAATGTAAGTTTGCCCGTTTTGATGCTTATGCTCTGCTTGGTGGATGAGACGGTAAAATGCGGTAATCAATAATTTTTGCAGTTTCGGAGCCCGCAGCACATCGTCCTCTCGGGGCACCATCGAATTCGTGCTCTAACGGGCCTATGGTTATACGGATACGCCGCTGCAACAATCAGAATAACAGACCTGGTACGATTCACTTGCCTTTCCTAACCGGTTTTCCAGGATCTTCTCGGATCAGCATACTCGATCCTTTCTGTAGACGCGAATCGACCGGAAATTACTACTGCTGGGATCCTTGCACTCATAACTGCCTGGAGAAGGGGCGAACGCGTCCTGCAATACGTTTCCGTCAACATTCAAGGGGAAGAAACGGAGGTAGTTACTTAATTCATAAATCAGATATGATGCTTTCCAGCTTTTACCGAGAATTGTCGACCTACAGCCGGTGACGATGATGACTCCAGATGGGAACGTAGTGGTCACCTCAATCCGCCGGTCCCTAGACGGCCACTATCTGGCGATTGCCACACGTGGGGGGCGCCCAGGAATTTACGAGTGAGTTGCCTTACATTTTCTAAAATAAAATTATCTTTCAGGATCCGTCTGATGTTACTATGCAGCACTCACCAGCCAGGCGTCTTCCGCCCAGTAATTTAAGACGAATGCGCGCTGCCGGCCGCGTTTGAATACGGATCGGCTTTATTTTTTACTCTAACAAGGGCCCAAACTATATCTAGATATTTTTCTAGAGATATTAGAGTTATCATAGAGATATTGAAATGTATTTTGCAGTTTATATTCAGCAGTAGTCTCAAAATTGTAGAATTTGATGGTAGAAAACGAACAAACACTAATTTCAATTCGAAAATTATTTACATGCAAAAACGAAAAGTGTGGAAATCTGAAAATGAAAGTTTATAACTGAAACAGACCTTCCTATTTACATTCACCTGTGATGAGCACGTTGTGTGTATTGTGTGACGTGACGGAATAAATTTCAGACGTGTAGGAAACCGGAGTTTCTCGGTGCGCGACGAAACGTCAGTTTTGAGGAGAGCCCCGACGGCGAGCTCCGGGGGGGCGCGGCGACAGTGGATGGGGCACGGCATAGGCGACAGTTGCGGGGGTACGGCGGCGGTCACAAGCCGGCAGTTTTATGTTATTTATGTTTTAGCACAGTATGGTTTATTTAGAATCTGCATCATCAGCTATAGTAATTTTCGTATGTCCGTGTGTGGCTTCCGAATCTAATACCGCCGCGAACTCCTATGTTCGATAGCGGGTGAGCGGGAAAGGAGCACGGGAGGGCCCCACGTGAACATTTTGCATTTGGCTAATAGATTGCGCAATCGTTTCGATTTTCTTTTTGTGGTAGGCCGAAATCTAGCCGTTTGTTAGCCAAAACTTCTAAATTAATCTATTAGCCAAAAATTATAAATATTCTCCCGCGGCCCCGAATGCGCGCCGCTCTTCCCGTGGCCTGCACCTTGTTCTCGGAATAGCCTTAACGTGCACCCGGCATCTTTCTGGTTGCGCGTCATTCGGCAATGACTTCCTTCGGCTTCGGCCTCCACCTTCTTCGATTTTTACGACATATTTTCTATCTTTAAACATACTTTTACAGCTCCTCCCCCATGCACAACCATGAACAGCCGAGCAACGAGCCCCGCTACACGTGCCTCAACTGCAGCGGCGCCCTCAAGGTTGAGCCGCAGACCCCAAGGCAAGCCAAATCACCTAAAACCGTGAATTTGGCTTTTAGATCATCACGACATTCGCGGGAAATCGACCCGGCCATCCTGACGCAGGACACGGGCGAGGCGAGGAATTTGATTCAGGTCGGGCTCCCTTTTTCGCTTGAGCTTTTGGCTTCAGATCATCAGCGACTCGGAGGCCCCGCAGAGCTCCCCGATCTGCCAGAATTGCCTGAATGCGCTGATGGGCGGCATGGAGGAGCAGTACAACAGATTGAGCAACGAGTGCAACGAGCTGTCGCGCCTGATAGAGGGACTGAAAGTATCCTTGCAGATTTTGGCGAACAACTGGATTCAGGCCTGTTCTGGTGGCCCAAGCGGCAGCGCTCGACGACGGATTGACGAGTTGCGGCGGGAAGAAGCCGACTTGAAGCAGGAAATCGGCAAATTGGCCGAAGATGATCGTGCGGCCGAGGCTGAGCTGGCAAAAGCCAAGGCCGAAAGGGACACCGCATCGCAACGGCAACAACTACAATGGAGCAAATTTCGGTTAGTGTCGAGCTTGGGCGGAAACTCGTATGCTTTAGAAATGCTCACAAAAAACTGCTCGATATCGACGAAGCGACGCGGCATTCAGACGCCGAGAAGCGCTACGCTTCTGAACAGCTCCACCGATTGACAAATCGAAGCGCCCTCGACCTGGCATTCCACATCTGGGCAGATGGCTCGATTGGCACAATCAACGGATTTCGGTTAGTAACTTTCTCGAGGCTTACAAAGATTTTTATTCTTAGACTTGGCCGGCTGCCCGATGAGAACGTCGACCCAAAAGAGATCAACTGCGCCTGGGGCCAAGCGGCGCTTCTGCTTGATGTCTTGCTGAACAGAATGAAAATTCAACCCTCGATGTACAAGATTGTCTGCGTCGCCGGCTACTCGTTCATTCGGGAGGTTCGGCCCTCGGGTGCTGGACGCGAGCTTCCGCTCTACATCTCCAGCGGATGGCGACTTTTTAGGTATTCAAAATAATGCTTCAAAAAAAGAATTTAGTGGCTCCACACACGGATCCGACGAGGGAGCTGCCGCCTTTTTGGACTGTTTGGCGACACTGGCCGCCGTTCTACAATCGCGCAACAAACTGCTCCCACACACGATCAAGAAAGATTGCCTGCTCTACGATAATCATCAGTATTCGGTATCGTTTATTATGAAACCTCACATCCCGTTTCCAGGTAAAAATGCAATTCAACAACGAGGAGCGCTGGACGAAGGCGATGAAGTGCATGCTGTCGAACCTGAAGGCTGCCCTGGTGCACGTCAACCTGTGCCATATCAATGAATAGCGAATGGACCCATTGGCTCCGATCATTTTCACCTCAAAATTGCGTGTATCTTGTTCTTCCCGGTGCCTTCACCATTCCATTGTCTTCCCCACGATTGCCTTGCTCTGTACACATTTTGCACAAATACCGTGATAAATATTCCAAAAGTAATTTTCGAAAGGAACGCGGACAAATGGGATTTCCCTAGAAACATACTCAAAACAAAAAAAAACATAATTACCGAGAAGCTGCCGAGGTGACGACCGCTTCAAATTCATCCGCGCGCTTATCTCGAATTTCCAGGGCACCGCGCAAAATGGTGGCCGTCAAAGATGGGCTGTCTGCGCGCGAGCGCATGGTCCTTACCGTCAACGAGGTAAAAAGTTAATTTGATGAGGAAAACCCTGCCTTAGATTATTCAAAACCTGATCCAGGCGCACAAGACGGGCAAGGACATCGATTTGAATAGGCTGAAGTGCCTGGTAAGCATTCCCAATTTTCAAGATGAATTCTGTTGTCTAGCTCTCGCAAAAGCACGGCCTCAGCTCGCAACCCAAGCTCGTCGACATCATCGCCGGCGTGCCTCAAGATTATAAGGTTGCATTTTTTCTTGTTAGAATTTTTTCCTAGGAAGCCCTGCTGCCCAAGCTGAAAGCCAAGCCCGTTCGCACCGCTTCCGGCATCGCCGTCGTGGCCGTGATGAGCAAGCCGCACCGGTGTCCGCATATCAATTTTACAGGTATTTTTTTCAACCTGCGAAAAGAGCTGAATTTTTAGGAAACATTTGCGTGTACTGCCCGGGCGGCCCGGACTCGGATTTCGAGTACAGCACACAGAGCTACACCGGATATGAGCCGACGAGTATGCGAGCCATCAGGGCAAGGTAGACAATTATTTTCGTTTGAATTTTCTCGCTTCAGATACAATCCCTACCTCCAGACGAGGGGCAGAATAACGCAGTTGGCCGCCCTGGGGCACTCGATCGATAAGGTAGCTGAAAATTTGTATAAATGCTTTCATTTTAGGTTGAATTTATCGTGATGGGCGGCACGTTTATGTCGTTGCCGGATGATTATCGGTACTGATGATTTTGTTATTTTACAACGAGCTTTAGGGACTATTTCATCCGAAATCTACACGACGCGCTGAGCGGACACACGAGCAGCAGTGTAGCCGAGGTGAATTTTGGTGACGTATTGTTTAATTTTTTGTATTCTTGTAGGCTGTTGCCTACAGCGAGCGCAGCAAGATCAAATGTATTGGGATCACCATCGAGACACGGCCCGACTACTGCTTGCCCAGGTTTCCCAAGCCCCTCCTGTTTTTACCAGAGATTTAGGCATTTAAACGACATGCTAAACTACGGATGCACGCGGCTCGAGATCGGCGTACAGTCGACGTACGAGGACGTGGCCCGGGACACGAACCGCGGGCATACAGTGGGGCGCCCGGCGCATCTTGATTTTTTTTGTTCAGGTGAAATCGGTGTGCGAGACGTTCCACATGGCCAAAGACACCGGATATAAAGTGGTAAGCGGCCTCGCGTCGACTTCCATCTTGATCAATGTTTAGGTGATCCACATGATGCCCGATTTGCCGAACGTCGGCCTCGAGCGCGACATCGAGCAGTTCGTGGAACTGTTCGAGAACCCGGCATTCCGCCCCGACGGCCTCAAGCTCTACCCGACGCTCGTCATCCGCGGCACCGGCTTGTACGAGCTGTGGCGAAGTCAGCGTTATAAGGTACACGAGCCTTTTCCGGCCTCTAACTTCCGTTTAGAGCTACCCGCCATCCGTGCTGGTCGAGCTGGTCGCCCGTATTTTGGCATTGGTTCCGCCCTGGACGCGCGTCTACCGAGTGCAAAGGTTGGTTTAACTCTTGTATTCTTGTTGCCCAATTTTTACGGCCGCATTTGGAAACGTATCGTTCATTTTTTTCAGAGACATTCCGATGCCGTTGGTCTCTTCCGGCGTTGAACACGGAAATCTTCGGGAGCACGCCCTCGCCCGTATGAAGCAGATGGGGACGACGTGCCGCGACGTACGCACGCGCGAAGTCGGCATCCAGGAGATCCACAACAAGATCCGCCCCTACAACGTCGAGCTGATCCGACGGGACTACGTGGCGAACGGGGGATGGGAGACGTTCCTCTCCTACGAGGACCCCGACCAGGATATTCTCATCGGGCTGCTCCGCCTCAGGAAAGTCACCGACAAGGTGCATCGCGAGGAGTTGATGGTAAGCTTTGGCTAGAAATGGGCGCGCGGTCATTTTTCAAAAGCCCAATTTCTCAAATGGCTTGGAAAATCAAAACAAACGTTTCGAACTCCAAAAAAGATTTTTAACGCCATCTTTGCAAATTGCAACGCTGTTCCATATGGCCTTTTCCGTGCAAATTTGTCTAAATTAGTTTAAAGTGTTTTCTTTCGTTGGGAAAGATGAGTTTCGAAATTCCAATTTATACAAAACTGCCTTTCAAAAACATTTGAAATTTGGATTTTCAGGGCAACGTCTCCGTAGTGCGCGAGCTGCACGTGTATGGCAGCGTCGTGTCAGTGTCCGATCGGGATCCGCGGAAGTTTCAACATCAGGTGAGAGCTTCGCCCAGGTTCAAAAACGCCCTTCCACTTTAGGGATTCGGCCAACTACTGATGGAGGAGGCCGAGCGGATCGCGAGCGAGGAGCACGGCTCCAACAAGGTGGTCGTCATCTCCGGTGTGGGCACACGCGGTTATTACAGGTTGCTTCATGGTTTTCTGTAAAGCTATACAAGTTTTAGCAAGCTCGGCTACACCCTCGACGGGCCCTACATGAGCAAGTGGCTTAGCAGAGAAGAAGCATAACCTTTGCCAACGTTTGTTTTTTGTTTGTTTTGTTGCTAATTGCCCCGCTCCGTTCTGTGTTTTTGTGATGATTGTATGTTGTCTGTTGCCAGATCGATAAAGTCTAATTACAACCTTGGCGTTTGAGACATTTATTATCGACTAGGTCTCGAAGTGGTGCTGTTGCGGCATCTGGGCCAACGCGCATGCATCAGGTTGACAACGTGTCAGCGTATGCGATTCGCAGATGAATTCTGCGGTCAACGCGTCGGTGCGCACCTGGAAATGACATCCGTTTTATTCGCAACACACGTTAATTGTAGGCGCCTTGACCCAACGGAACCCGTCGCCGCCTCTGCGTGACCACTACTACCACTCCAGATTCTGGCTTGCGACAATGTTTGATGCCTTTATTATCACAGTCGATTTAGGATAGGGTATAAAAATGTTAAATGAGTGATATTGTGGGTGTAGATGAACGAAACTATAATGCCGTTACGACGAGCAAAAGGGAGCGGAAAAATGGTTAGCGACAACACGGGAATAGAGGCAGAAAATAGCTAATTGAGTATCAGGGCACCGAAGAACAACCGTAACAGACTATCTACGGATGCATTTGCATGATTTGGGCGCTGTGGTGTGGTCGAAGGAACAAAGAGAAAAGGGCCATCTTAAAAGGGCGCCGAAGCGCTAGTTTTCGGCGTTAGTACAGTACGAGTATTCCGCGTCCGCTTACAGACCCCCTTTTAAGATGGACCTAGTGCCCGGTGAGGGCTGAAAGACACCGTCAAAAACAATTCGATAATCCTAACATTCCGGGGCCGAGACGGCTACAAAGTATAAAAATGGATGATTCACACAAAAAGGCGAAATATTATGAGTGATGGGTGGGTGGCGTTTAGAAGACCATTTCCTTGTACTCGTTGGGTGCGGGTGCGGAGGGGCGAGCCTGAAAACGGGAAAATTATCAATAAGTACTTTGAAGTTTAAATTTTTTGATTTCTATTCCATAAAAGGAACGTTGGAATAGAAAAAAGCCATCAAGAGCCCTTCAAATTTTGCGCGCGCCTTTTCAAAATTGCATGGCATTCAAATGTCGAAATACCGACATTTTTTCGAAAAGTAAAAAGCACAAAAACTCACCGCCGGCTGCTGCTGGTTGGCGGGCCGTCGGTTCTGATGGGCGCCGCGCCCCATCGTAAACTCGAACATCGATTCGTGCTAAAAGAACAGGGCCTTGCTGTAAACGAAAAGAGGTGCTTACGTTGAGGCCACGAATCAGGTCACTGACGTCCTCGGCAGGGTAGGGCGTCCTGTAGAAGAAGTCGGCATCGAGACTGTGCTGAAAAAGAGAAAATAAAATGGAAATAAGGAAAATTTTCGCAGAGCCCTGTGATATCGCCAGGATAGCATTCTCTCGTGGTTTAGACGACACAGCAAAATCCGCAAAATTGCGCCCCGAGTCGTTCAATGCTGTCACGACCCATCCGCAAAGCTCACCTCGGCCGACGGGCGTTGCGCGGGGTTGAGTGACAGGAGTCGCTCGAGCAAATTCATCGCCTCGGTATCCTGAGGGGAAATGTATTCCCCGAGAAAGGTCTTTCTCCACCTTGATTATCACTGACAACCGCTCCTGCACGCGCCGCCGGCAGTCCTGGTCGAGCACGAGCTGCTTGTAGAGCGGCAGTTTTTCGCATTCCTGAAAAAAAATATAAATCAGAATGAGCAGCGCATCAAAAAACACAAAAACCTGTGAAAAACTCACCGGCCAGACTTCTGGGGTGATGGCGCCGCAGAGCTTGGTGATGAAGCTGAGCTGCCGCTGCTCGGTGTCCCCTTGCATGATCGGGCTGCGGGTCCACAGCTCGGCCATGATGCAGCCGGCACCCCACATGTCGATCGAGGTGTTGTAGTACCTAAAAAACAAGCAATCCTAATCAAAATCAAAAATAAATAAAAAATCCCAATCAAATCCACATCTCATCAAACACACACCGGAGTTGGCCCGGTTACAGAAGGGACCCAATTTGCGCTCCATGATCCACTTTCAGATAGCAATGTTAAAAAAATAATGAATCGGGTACCTTTTCGCCAAAAAAGATGAAAAATTGATAGAAAACTGCCGATTTTCAAAAAAACGCGCGTATAACTGTCTAGAATTCAAAAAATGACCAGAACACTATGCAAAAGTGCACGTTTTATTCCCAGTGATTGAAAAATTACCTTTCACCCAACAGCAGCTCGGGCGGCCTGTACCACAAGGTGACGACGCGGTTGGTGTAGGCGTGCTTCTGTGTCGCATCAACCGTGTAGGGACGCGCGAGGCCGAAGTCGGCCAACTTCAGAATACCATCATGGGTGATCAGCACGTTGGCTGCTTTCATGTCGCGGTGAAGAATCTTGCAGCGATGGATTTGGAAAAGGCCGAGGAGCAGATGCTGAAAAATAAAAAATATTTTGGAAAATATTTAAACATACAAATAATCGAAATATTTACCTTCATTAGGGTTTTCTGATGGACGAGCTTCAGCTGCACCTTATCGTTGCTGAGCAAGCCGGCCAGGTCGTGGTTGCAGAAGGTGAACACCAGGTAGAACGTGATCCGCTCCTTGGCTGTCGAAGCTGCAAGGGAAGCAATTGGTCAAACTCATTCACCAAATGTACAAAAAAAGAAAGAGGTTCACCAAATCAAAACTTACATTTCGCCGAACAAATCTCAATCAGCTCGGTGATGTGTTTGTGCTTCAATTGCTGTAACATCTTCACTTCTCGCAGAGCAGTGATAGGAAACTGCAAAAAAAAAGGTTAGCCGAACAGCCGCCAACTTACGCCTTCTTTTTCATTTTCCATCAGAATCTTCTTCAACGCGACCATGCGTCCAGTTTTCTTACACCGGGCTTTGAACACCTCGCTGAAACCGATAATATGTACCCGAATGTTAAGGCGGATAGGTAAAAGCGGAAAACGATGAATGCGGGATAAAAAACGCACCCAAACGTTCCTTGGCCAATTTTCTGCACACGCTCGTAGTTGTTCACATCGTTGATGTAGGGGTAGTTGAACTCGCTCATGTAGCCGTACATCCTTGAGTCGACGCGAATCTTGGCCATCTCCTCCTCATCTTTTGCTGACACTAAACAAATGGACATGGACGTTTTATCAAAACCTGGAGAAAAGCGCATAAAAATACCAACTTTTAGCTGGCGGCTCCCCTTCGCTCGTCCTGGGCCGCGGCACCGGCGTCGATGACTGCTGCTGCTGCTGAGGAGGGGCTTGGGCTTGACCTCGGTGTGCTGGTTGGGATGACGTTTGACCGCCTAAGATCATGTATGAGCTGTATTTTAAGCACTACCTGAGAAGCCGGCAGAATGACGTTGATCAGCATACGGGCGGCTCCCTGTATTCTGCATAATACCCCTGAAAATACGGATTTTATTACGTTATCACAGAGAGGCGAGAGCACAGTCGAAAGAGCATATATTAGGTTAAACGCACAGTTTCAAAGAAAATGAAACTAAAAAAAAATAAAAATATTAGGAGACGGCGCAGATGGGGGTTTGCACTGTCGATAACATGACGCGCAAGAGCCAGACGGTTATCGACCAATCATTTAGCACACCAAGGAAACTCTTTTGCCGCAAGTTCAAACAATCGGGAAGAAGACATCTGCCAACTGGGTCGCGAAAAAGAAAGGGCTGCGAAAACCTAGAATGCGATCCGCCAATTGGTTAGCACCACAATTTTAATAAATAAGCCATTAATCGAATAAATATAATGTTGCATGGGATGACGGCCTCCTCCTTCATCGATACAAGAGCACATAACCGGCCGTCAGCAAGCAGGACACCGACACGGCATAGTGCAACCGAGTGCCGACGACGGCCGCCTTGTAGAAGACGCCAAGCGGGGCATTCTTGTCCGCGATCAACGTCGAGATCCGTGGCACCCGCTTCAAATAGGCGCACGTGCACACCAGCAACAGCACGACCGTGATGAGCCCGTCAAAGGAGTATGCGTTCATCGCGCTCAACTAAATGTTATATTTAACTCCAACAATGAGAACAACAATCAATAGATGAGAACATTAGCACAGACAACGATGAGGAATGGGACAACGCGTATTTGGGGGACAAAATGAGAAAACGGAGGGGCAACGTTCGGCGCCTAGCGATACCGTAAATTTGCTGTAGTGCCCGGCTGGCACATTGACTAGAGCTCGCAAAATTAAAGTTAAATAAATGATGCTAAGCAATAGGCTAGACCTAGAGTGAAATCGTCGTGCGAGAAAAAAAAAACAAAGTTTTACCGGGAATGTGTACTAATAGCTGATGTGGAGAATCTTTTTTGCCAATGCACCAGCCGGAAGCCCTGAGGATCGTCGAGTGGTTAGAATGAGGAAGGACGACGGGTGAAAGGATAACGGGCAACTCTGAAAGATCACAATGGAATGGATGGGCGGTTGTCGGGGTGGGGTAAAAACAGTGACGAGAAGGAGCTCATGTTTCAATTTCTTCATTGTACCCTTGGGGCATGGCGTTGAGTATCCAGTAGAAGAAAAAATGCGGGGCCCGTGTTTCAGTGGAGACTTCCGTTTTGCGGGTGTTTGACCTCGAAGTATGGATGTTTCAGAGCATCGTCCAGCCGTATCCGTGTCGTCGGGTCATACTTGAGCATCAACTCTATTAGCTCGAATAGGTGAGCGTCATCGGGTGTGTGGCCACGCATGTGGTACCGGAGTCGATGGCACTTGTCGCGGACGTAGCGCGAGTCCGGCGAATTAGCGTCCCAATCGAGGCGACCGTCCTTGTAGTGCTTCGTCTTCGACTTGAGCGCCATATGCTCAGGCATTGGAGCGTCCAGGGTACGCTCCATAATTGCCAAGTGTTCGCGTGAGTCATGCGTCTGAAAATTATTGAGTTATTAAAAAACAGCCGAGCTACCGTATTTCCGCTAATATAATAATTAATTTTTTTTAATGACGGATTTTTCTTCTACTCAAGTTTTCAGTGCGATCCTGCATAATTAGGAGCTGTTTTATTGCTACAAAATTGCTGTGATTGCTCAAAAACAGAAAAAAAATCTACTAGTCTCTCTAACACTCGGCGTGATTCAAAGGAAAGAACTACGAGGTTATATTAGAGAAAATACGATAGTTCAAAGACAATACATACAAAAATATTTTACCTGGAATATCGTAGCCCCGGTGTACATCTCAAACAGGATGCAACCGATGCTCCAGACGTCGCAAGGATACGACCAGCCCAGCTCGAGCACGACTTCCGGCGCTCGGTAATGCCGAGTGCTGACGACGAGCGTGTGATATTGGTCCTCGTACGTCGCGCCGCCCAAGTCGATCAGAATGACGTCGGGGTTGTCGAGCACTCTGCGCCGCTTCCCGTTCTCGTCCCGCTCATTTCGGAACTTTGACGAGCACAGCACAAGGTTCTCCGGCTTCAAATCAGTGTGCGTCAACCGGTTTCGATGAAGAAACGCGACGGCTTCCGTCAGCTGTCGTCCCATATGTCGGACGTGTTCCATCGGAAACGGCAGGTAGTCGTTCGACTTCAAAAAGTCGAAAACGGACAGGCCAAGCAGCGGGAAGAGCAGGCAGGCGTGCCCGTGGTAGTCGAACGAGGACGTGAGCCGAATCACCTAAAGTGGGAGGTGATAGTGGGGGGCAGGGCCGTAACAAACCCAAATTTCGGGGGGGGGGGCGACCCCAAAATTTTTTCGCCAATATGACTAAAACAACAGCGCCGCAGGCAAAATTTTTGAAAACATAGGGTTTATAACACTAAAACTAGTGTTAAAAATAGACAAAAACAGCGCCGCAGGCAAAAAATTTTTTCGAAAAATTAAATCATAAGGGTCCCCCCTTATGAACTTTTCGGCCTTCGGCCGATTTCGGGGGGGGGGGCGGCTCGCCCCCCTCGCCCCCCCCCCCCTCTTACGGGCCTGGTGGGGGGCGATACTACTCAATTCTCGCAGGCAGCTAGAAAAAAAAAACTGACCATTGATTTCCCTTCCGGATCGAGCCGGAGCACGTCCTTCAAAATCTTGATCTCACATTCGGCGGCCTCGCGATATTTGGATATGTTGCGCACGATCTTCAGCGCGTACTTCTTGTCGCCCTTGCTCTCCACCTCGACCACTTTGCCAAAGGTGCCCTCACCGAGCTTGCGGACGATCTTGTAGCTGCCAGACTGCCCGTCGCTCGGCTCGATGTAGTCACCGGCTTGCCAAACAAGGTGGCCGTCTCGATCGTCCTTCACCGGCGGTCGTTTGGAAGGATGGCGGGCATCTCGGTCTGGGCTGGGTGATCGGCGGTGATGCTTGTGGTCTTTATGCCGCTCGTCCGCGTCATGTCTAAACAGCAAAATTCTTTCAAATCAAGACAAAATCGCCGGATTTGCATTTCAACCGGCCGATAACCACCAAAATGCTACGCAAAAGATTTTGACCGGACCTTTTTCGCTTTTTGTCTTCGCTGCGCCGACGTGCCCTCCTTTCGCGTTCGCGTCCGCTCTCTTCACGCCGCCTTTTCCGCTGCTTGTCGTCCGAGTCCGATTGGTGTTTCCGTCTGGGCATCTGAAACGAAAGCGTCATTAAAGGCGGAGAAAATTCAATGGCAAAGAAATAAGGGGAGAAAAGGGCGGCAACTTGCCGTTGGGCATCAAAACTGAACTGAAGGTAGCCAAAAAATGCCTAAAACGAGGCCAAGAAACAGCGATATCATAAAGAAAGAGAGACGAGTGATAGGAAAAGCGAAACCACCCCTTATGAGGGGTGGTGAATGCCTGCGCTAGGACCTAAAGCCCCAGGTGCTCGTGGCAACGGCGGATTAGACACGAAAATCATTCCGAAATGTAGCAGAGCTCTTAGGCAGAAGAAATCAGAGGAATAATTATTTTTCGCAATGGGACTGGCTAAAGATAAAGGTCGAGCGCTTTCTCGACGATGACGCCATAGTTACGAATCGGCTAATCGGAAACGCGCAAAAGAATTGATGGCAATGTAAGGTACGAAACTCTGCAAAGAATCGCTTGTCATGAGGTAAAATCCAAACAGCTTGTCTCATATTGCGCAAGAATAGCGTTAGATACAAAACCAGTAAACGGGCTCTAGCTAGCCCAGAATCCCAGCCACAAACTCGCCGACTGTGATTAACGGTTTGCCGGCTCGGTTTTTCCACCGATTTTGGGGTGGTGTCACGCGATGAACTCGAAATTTTTGCCCAAAAATCAACCCGGGATATTGTTTTTCGAGTTCAGCCGGCAAATTACACTCGGATCGGTGAAAAACGGTGAAAAAAAGGGGGGGGGAAATCAAAAGAGGTCCGGCAAACCGCCATAGCGCCCAAGATCTAAAACAGTCCAACGGCTCCTAGTATTACTTTTTAGCGGCTTAAACAGTCTATAACATGCGTAAGCTACCTGCAGAAAGAAAAAGGGCACGGCGGAGACAAGAGAGCGGTGAGTACAAGCGCGAGCAGACACACACATTGCTCAACACGGCATTTGGCTGGTGTCTGCGGGGTGACTCCCGAGACGAATAGCCTGCCCAGCCCCTCTGCGATGCGATGGTCCGCGTAGCCACTGGCCCGTTCTGCCTGAAGGATACCGGGCAGGGTTGAAGCCGGCCGGAAACGTTCAGGAGTCGAACCTGGAATCTGGAACCTTGGACAAGCATCCACCAACCTTTCTAAGCCTGTAAATCATCCACGCTTCATGTCTCCGTTCCCATAATTCGATTAAAACCGTTCTAAAGTAATCAGTAAAGCCTCAGCTGGCTGATTCTGGTCTCTTCACCTCACATTTTTGCTGAAAATATCTGAATTACCGAGCTTCAATGGGGTGTACGGACTCAGAGAAGCCCCTGGCGGTGTTATTCGCCGCCGATCAGGGTACGCTGCGTCATGGTATCGACGGGTTTGATATCCCGAGCGAGTTTCTAGAAAGCTTTTTCGAGGAAATTATCAATGTCTAAGCCAATCAAAACCGGGATCCAAGCTTTCGTCACAGCTAAAAATACCTAAAAATATATATTCGCGGACAATTCAGCTTCAGCAATGTGCAGGAAATTCATTAGAAAGATGACATTAGTGCGCTGAACAAGGAAAAAATTGCATTTTTTCAGAGCGGAAATTTTGTCGATAGGAACGTTTTGTAATTTTGTGCTAGATGATACGTTTTCGGAAGGTTATTTTTCGAAGAATTCTCGTTCGCTATTCTTCTTGCCATGCCTCGCGGAAACCAAAAAAAATAACCCAACCGCTTTTCCAGATACTTTCGCGTGGCTGTGATGTCTGATGAGCAATAGAGTGCAGCACACAGGCCTCATGTTTCTCCGCAGCGCCATTGAGAAGATCCTCGCCGACAAGGACATCAAGAAGAAGGACAATTTGCAGCTGAAAAAGGCGTGCGAGACGGCCCTCGGTGTGTTTTTGGCATCACCAAGCCAGTTCCCGAACGAAGGAACGATTTTATCGCGATTTTCATGCTTATTCCCTCTTTTCAGAAGAGCTCAACAATGAATCGAAAACGGATCGGGTGCCGAATGCTGCCGATGTCCTCCCCGATCGCGAAGTGAGGATCTTGCCTTTGTCCCGAGACATTTCTGTTCCAGATTTTCGAAGCCGACCGTTACTTCTTACCATTCGAACTGGCGTGCAGGTCGAAGAGTCCACGGATCGTCACCAACGCGTTGGACTGTTTACAGGTGTGTTGTCAAACGGCCCTCTTATTATTTTTCGCAGAAATTGATCGCCTACGGCCATCTCACGGGGCGGCGCGTCGATTCGGCGAACCCCGAGCGGCTGCTCATCGACCGGATAATCGAGGCGATTTGCGATTCGTTCAACGGGCCCGGCACCGACGAGACGGTGTTGCTACAAATTATTAAGGTGAGCTATCCGCGAACGTATCGACCTATTTTCCAAATTTTAGGCAATCCTCGCTGCCGTCCTCTCGCAACAATGTGAGGTGCACGAGGCCTCGCTCCTGCTCGCCGTCCGCACCTGTTTCACCATCTACCTCGCCACGCGAAGCCCGATCAACGGTGCGACGGCCAAGGGAACCCTGACGCAGGTTCGAGTCTTTAGCTTTAATTTTAAGCCTATTTTTTTTAGATAATCAACACCGTCTTTGGCCAAATGGAGAAGCACGGCGCCGAAAAGGACGACAAATCGGTGGTCCGTGAGGTCGTTGACGGGCTGGTCGGGCAAGTGGTGGCTGAGCAGGAGGCTGACGATGCTGCCGTTGACGCGAAATCCCGTGCCGGTGCCTCGACATGTGGCGATAGCGAAAGTGGCACGAACCAAAGCCTGATCCCATCCGAAGACAGCTTCCCGAACGTATATCAAAAAGACGCCTACCTCGTCTTCCGTGCCATGTGCTTCCTCGCCCAAAAGGACGAGGGCGACGTCGGCGACAAGGGCAACACCTTCCTGCGATCGAAAGTGCTGGCGCTGGAGCTGCTGCTGCTGGTGCTCCAAAACTCCTCCGAGGCCATCCGCCAATGTCCGCCCTTTCTGCTGCTGATCAAGAAGACGCTGTGCCTGGCGCTGACCAAGAACGCCGTCTCTCCGGTCGTCCAGGTGTTCGAGAAGTCGCTAGCGATCTTCGTGCAGCTCGTCGACAAGTTCAAGGGTCACCTAAAGCTTCAGATTGAGGTTCGTCCTTTTTTACTGCGACTTTCATCGTGCTTTAGGTGTTTTTCAAAGAGATCATCATCACAATGCTCGAATCGAGCACGTGCAGCTTTGAGCAGAAGTGGATAGTGCTGAACACGATCGGTGAGGTCGATCTCCTTACCTTACACCTTGTTTTAGACAAAATCATGGAAAATCCGCAATCAATCGTGGACATGTACGTGAATTACGACTGCGACATGACGGCGGCCAATGTTTTCGAGAATTTGGTGAATGTTGTGAGCAGAACGAGCCGGACCACGGTATCTGAGCGTGAGTTTTTTTGAACAATGTTGAAATTGAAGGAATTTTGAAAATTCCAAAATGTTTACCTTTCTTCGTCATTTTGCAAACATTTTTGGCCAATTACAAAATCCTATAATTTTTACCTTTTCCTATCTAAAAACCTTGGAATTTTATCAAAATTATTTTTTCAGATTCTCACCCGGACCAGCGGAAGCGCGAACAGGCCTTCCGACTACTCGGCCTCAAGTGCCTGGTGATGCTGCTACGCTGCCAAGTCGAATGGTTCGAGGGAATCACGCCGGACCTTAAGGAAAAACTCGAGAAAGGTATAAAAATAAATGTGTAAATCTCGTGCTATGGGTTCCAACTTTGACGAAACTTTCAAGAATGTGTAATTTTCACTTCCCTCACCGCTCTGTCCAAGTTTCCGGCAAAAAGCAAAAAATCTGGGCCGAACCGGGATTCGAACCCGGGACCTCTCGCACCCGAAGCGAGAATCATACCCCTAGACCATCCGGCCACTGGGTGCGGGCTCGCGAGAGGGGCAGATAGGGCTGCCCCGCCCCCTTCCGCCGGCCCCCCGATCGCGGGAACCCCCCAAAAAGAGGGACTGGCCGCGATGGGGGGCTGCGGCGACTGTTTCGGTTAAGGAAATGCTGTGTTTTGCGGGTACTGGTCGAAAAAAGTGCTCTCGGATTTTTTGTGAACTGGGCCGAATTTCTGCCGCTGTTCCCAAGAATGGGTCGTTCGCAAGAACCGCAATTTCTGTCTTTTTACAGTTTTCTGCCAAAATGGACGGCAGCTTTTGGACCTAAATCTGTGCACGGTTCGCATAAGCCAGGAAAGAAAGAAAAATAACGACCCGGATCCGCGTTTTCTCGGGATTGGCTTAAAAATTGTATTTAGCAATGCTTTTTTCACACGTGCTAGATAGAATCTCGATAAACCACTAGAAAACAAACCCTGAATTTAATGGGCGAAATCCCCCTGTGGCCGTATCGCTGAAATAACCCTGAAAAACAAAACAAAGATAAATTAATCTTTTCCAGTGAACGGCGAAAGCGAGACGACCAGCGACGAGCAGTCCTCGTGCCCGGCGTTGAACGCCTTCGAGCACACGAAGCAAAAGAAGGACCTGATCGAGCAGGGCATCCTGATGTTCGCCAGAAAGCCGAAGCTCGGCCTGCAGTTCCTGCAGGAGAAGGGATTCCTCGGCACCGAGCCCATCGACATTGCCCTCTTCATGATACAAGAGGAGCGGCTGGACAAGACGGTCGTCGGCGACTATTTGGGCGATCCGGATGAGTGGGTTTTGGACGTTTTTAAGCTACCACCAATTCTCACATCATTTCATTACTATCATCAAAAATTTTGTACTTTACAGGTTCAACAAGAAGGTCATGTACGCCTACATCGACGACTTTGACTTTTCGGAGAAGTGGTTCGTCGACGCGCTGCGGATGTTCCTGGAAAAGGTAAAGCCCAACTCCCTTGTTGTATAGCGACGTTTTTTTCAGTTCCGACTCCCCGGCGAGGCGCAGAAAATCGACCGACTGATGGAGAAGTTCGCCTCCCGGTACTGCGAGTGCAATCCAAGGTTTGCAAACATTGTATCTTTTAACCTTGTTTTGAAGCTTTCCCCACTTTGCCTCCGCCGACACGGCCTACGTCGTCGCCTATTCGATCATCATGCTCACCACGGATTTGCACAGTCATCAGGTTTTCGGCCGTTTGACGTCCCTTATTGTGCTCTTCAGGTAAAAGCGGCCAACAAGATGTCGAAGGAGGCCTACGTCAGGCAATGTCGCGGCATCAACAATGGCGGTGACCTTCCCGCTGAATTTCTGGAGGTTTGGCGCCTGGAATTTACCCCAAATTTTACACATTTTTTAGCGCATCTACGACGACATCCTGAACAACGAGATCAAGATGAAGGCCGGGGCGGCGAAGCTGCTCAAGTCGCAGCAGAGTGAGGAGATGGTTTTTCAACCGTTTTCATCGTGTTTTTTAGACACGTTTGGCGGTGGGGCGAGCACGGACGCGCAGCGGAAAGCCATGGCCGACGTGGAGATGGCGGCGATGAGTATGTTTTTCAGGCGTATTTTTGAAAGAAACTTGCTCTTGTAGAGGAGACGGCACGGGCGCTGATGGAGAGCGTGTGGAACGCCGACGCCAACTTCACCCCGGCCAGCCACCAGCACCACGTGCGCCCAATGTTCAAGGTGGGCGATGCTGAGGAAGGCGCTTGACGAAAGAGCCGAAAGGGTTGTTGAACGTATTCTCGCTTTTTTTTCGTCTGCGCCTTCGTTTTCGTGTCCTTTTGTTTTGTTTTCTTTTCCAAAAATTCTGAACTTGTACTCGAAATCAAGTAAAAATTCTCAAGACTGTCGCGTTTTGCGTACTGTATACTGATGCTTTCCGTTCAGATCTGTTGGACGCCCTGCTTGGCCGCCTTCTCGATGGGTTTGCAGAGCTCGGAGGACCACGACGAATGGATGCTCTGCCTCACCGGCTTCCGGTACAATTTTTGGCTTTTTTGCAAATAGTGCTTCTTAGCCTCGGCATCCGGGCCGCCTGCCTGCTGCGGATGAACACCGAGCGCGACTCGTACATCAAGGCCATCTCCCGCTTCACGCTGCTCACCAGCAACAAGCAGCTGATGGAGATGCGCGAGAAGAACATCGAGGCTATCAAGTTGCTGCTGCTGATCGGGGACGAGGATGGAGACTATCTCGAGGACAACTGGGTCGATGTGGTAAGCGGCTTTCTAAAAAAACCTTGATCCACTTTTTTTTCTAGTTACGCTGCCTCTCCCAACTCGAGTTGGCGCAGCTGATCGGCGGCGGGCTGCGGCAAAATGGTGGCGACATTGAGAGCAGCGCGCATTGTGGGTTTTTCTGAATTTTTGCCCAAATCTGGAGGAAAATTTGTTCTATGCCTAATGGTGTCGAGCAATTTGTTTTAATCGTGTTTTGGACAAAAGAAGAAATGCTTGATTCCGATTTTACACTTACATTCAGATGTCATCAAAAATACCGGCACCATTGACCAACGAACGCTGGCCGCACTTCAAGAAGCTCTCGGCGAGACGAGCTCACAAGCTGTCGTCGTGGCTGTCGATAGGTAAATAGTGTTTTGCTGACCATTGAAGATTTTCTCCTCCTTCAGGATATTCCACGGCTCCTCGAAGCTGTCCCCGGACGCGATCGTCGCCTTCGTGCGAGCCCTCTGCGCCGTGTCGAAGGAAGAGCTCGGACTGTCCGGCAGCCCGCGCATGTACTTGTTGCGGATGCTCGTCGACGTCGCCTTCTACAACATGAATCGGATCCGGTTGCATTGGTGCGCATTTTCATTTGGCTCCACGGTGCTTTCGCATCATCGGCGGGGTAGAAAATACTTCCTTAGAATTCGTTGTTTCTCCAGTCCAAAAATTTCCAAATTTTGGGTAAAAATGCTTAAATTTTTTTCTGGGATTTTTGAACGTTTTTTAGTAAGTTTTACACTTGACTTACCGCTAATGTTCCTAAAAACTATTAAACGATGTGCTGGGTTTTTTTGCATTACTAGGTATAAATTTGCGCTCATAGGAAAACTTCCGTACATTCCCGCCCCCCCCCCCCGATAATGCGTCAGTACCAGCCTCACACCCCTAAATCTCCTTTCAGGACTCGCATCTGGGCGGTGATGAGCGAGCACTTCAGCACGGCCGGCTGCAACCAAAACGAGGCGATCGCTTCGTTTGCCGTCGATGCGGTACCGGAAAATTTTTGCGTATTTTTACCGTCGTCGTTCAGATCCGCCAGCTGGCCATCAAGTTCTTGGAGCGGGGCGAGCTGCCCAATTTCCGCTTCCAGCACGAGTTCTTCAAGCCGTTCGAGGTGAGTGCGAGCTTGGTGATCCCCCATACCCTTGCTTCCAGACGATCAGCCAGAAGACGCGTAGCGCGCAGACCAAGGACCTTGTCGTCTCCTGCTGCGCGCACATTGTCGAGGCGCACGCACCGCGGATCAAGTCTGGATGGAAGCCGCTTTTTCAGGTTAATTTTGACATTTTTTTTGGGGCGATAGAGGTGTTTCCGGTCTTTCGAAGTGTCGAAAATCATAATGTCGAAATTCAGAAGATCGAAATTTACATAAGCTAATTTTCCCGGAAAATCCCCGTGGCCTATGCAAAAAAAAATTTCGACATTATGAAATTTCGGCATTGTGAAATTTTGGCATAATGAATTTTGTCTTGATGATAGCAAATCGTGCTTTAGACATGGAACCACGTGGCTGCCGACAACTACCCCGACATTGCCGAACGCGCATTCCTCGACGTCAAGAAGGTCATCGAGAATCATTTTGCGACAGGTATTAACGATGATTTTTCGATGTTTTTACTGTTTTTAGACTTCCTTTCGGCCCTCGACGCCTTCCAGGAGATGGTCAAGTGCCTGTCGGACTTTGCGTGCAACTCCTGCCTCAACCAAGACATCAACATGGAGGCCATCCACCTCATCCGGATCCTCGCCAGCTACGTGTCGCAAAACGGGGACGCCATCGTCGACGCACCCTACGAGGAAAAGTTTGCGATGGCGGGCCGGGATCGCATCTGGCTGCGCGGGTATTTCCCGGCCCTCTTCGAGCTCAGCTGCATCATCAAGCGCTCGTCGCTGGATCTGCGGACGCGCAGCCTCACCGTCATGTTCGACATCATCCGCTCGCACGGCGCCGAGTTCCAGTGAGTTCCCCGGGCCTACGGTTTTGCAACTCTTTGTATTTTTCAGGGAACAATGGTGGACGGAGGTGCTGAAGATCATCTTCACGATATTCGACCCGACCAAGTTTGACGACTCGAATGCCGATGTGAGTTTTTTTTTTGTTTTGACGCAGTTGCTAGAAATGGGGAAGAATTTGCTATCTTATTCTCGAAAAACATAATGTTGAAATGCATAATTTCGAAAATTTTTCCCTAAAATTCGGGGGTTTTTCCGGGTAAACTAGCTTATGTGAATTGGACATTATGAATTTCGACGCTATAACTTGCAACGTTTTGAAAGAAACCCAGGGGGAAGTGAATAGGTATCGAGCGAGGCAAAAACCCCTAATTTTCCTCTAGCTAACCACCTTTGACGATCGCCCCCAGAGCACGGTGGTGAGTTTGAAAGAAACCGGAAAACTGGTGTGCATGCAGAATTTCGTGGTGGTTGGCGGCAAGAATCTCGCGTTTTGTCCATTTCTTCTGTCGGGATTTTTAAGGCTTCAATGGCTGTAACTGCACTCTTTTCAAGTTTTTTTGTGCCATTTTCTCTTTTTTCAGAAACGCGAATGGGTGACGACCACCTGCAACCACGCGCTGCTCTCCGTCGTCGATGTCTTCTACCAGTACTTTGACGTGCTGGCACCGACGGCGATGCCCATCATCTACGACAAGTTTGCCGCCTGCATCCATCAAGGTTAAACATCTGGCGACATTCAGCTTATTTTTAGACAACGAAAACCTGGCCCGGACGACGGTGAACTGCTTGGAGGACTTGGTGAAGCGCAACGGCACCCGGTTCACGCCCGACATGTGGGAGCGGACGGTAAAGCTGATCGCCAGCTTGTTCCAGAATACCCTGCCCGAAGAGTGAGTATTTGCTGTCTTGGAAACTTACAATTCCCTAGACTTCTTTCCTGGGATGAGGGACGCCCGTCGACCAGCTCGATGACCGAGATGATGCAGCAGGTCAACATCAACGGGCACGTGTCGCCGGCCAAAAGGTGTGCTCTCTAACTTTTTCCTAAATTTTTCCTTGCTTCAGCCAAGCCAGCGATCACTTGATCTCGGCGGTGCTCGTGCATTGCGTCGTCCAGTCCGAGCTCGTCGACGCCGTCACCTCGATCGTGCTGGGAACGACGCGGAACCAGTCGGAGCCCGGCCACAGTCCACTAGCGGTACGGTTTTCATTGCTTTCACTATTCCTAAGCATAAAAATTTTATAATTTTGATAAAAAAAAAGAATTTTAAGTAGAAAAATTGATTTTTAGACCCAAAATGACCAAATTTTGGAATAGAATTAAAACGTACTAAAAACAACGTAAAAAGCTATTTGTTTACTAGGCCAACCGGAAATCCTAAGGAACCAACAAACCCCATTTCAGACAAGCCCACCCAACGGCATCCACGAGGGTCTGTTCGACACGATGCGGCCGCAGCACTTGCTCGTCATCTGCGATGCGCTCGCCGACAGCCAACGTTTAGCCCGGCACTTTAACGAGAAGAATGCTCAACGGTAAGCTTTGCCAGGAATTAGAGATTTCCCGTTTTGTAGAACGCTGCTCTGGAAAGCCGGACTGCGCGGCACGACCAAGCCCAATCTGATGCGGCAGGAAACCCATGCATTGAGGTAGTTTTCTAGGGTTTTTCTGAGAACTCTGGCTTTTAGAGCGATGCTGGCGATTCTTCTTCGACTACTTGGCGATCGGCGATCAGCCGAAATCCGCGAGCAAGTCGGGCAAAGTGTATTGAGGTACGAAATCTTTGCTAGCTATCATAATCCTCCTCCAGGGCGGTCAACGAGGCGCTGGCCGGCTACAACGAGTCGATCAACGACGAGAAGCGCCGCGCCGCCTACACGCCCGTCGTCTGCGAGCTGCTCACCGAGGTGCTGCGTCTGCCCACCGAATGGCTGCACGCGCTCGGCGAGGCGTTCCCGGAGCGGCTTTGCGATTTAGTGCAGGTATTGTTTTCTGTTGGATTGGGCGTTCACTCTATTCTTAGAGGTTTTTTGGTTTTTTAATGAAAATACCGACTTTCGGTTACAAAATTTCCGGATTCCCAATTTTTTTGGACACGCTGTACGCAATGCTTTCTTTAGTGCGCCGAGGGCGAGCAGCTGCGCTCGCTGCTGGCCCAAGCGTTGCGGCGGTTCCTGCGTGAGGCCAAGGCGTCGACAAATGGTGCCCCGGTCGCTACACAGAAGTCCGCGTCGACCCTCTCGACGGGCCCGAACACAACAAGCATGCGCACGGTACGCACCTTTCCGGGTCTAATTTCACGTATTTCTAGGCCTCGACGCTGTCGTTCGTCGCGCGCAGCCCGTACGTGGAGACGACGTCCGTCGACGAGAGCGACGCCGATTTGGAGCGGCGCGAGATGCGGGTCTTCGACGGGGAGTCGTCGATGTAGAGCCCTGATCGCCTTGATTTTAAGCACCTCTTCCAGCCATAAATATCCGCCCATTTTTCGTGTGCTCACTCATTGTCCCCTTTTTGCTATTTATTCACCCATGCTACCGTATCCCAATTTCCGCCGCGTGTCATTTGCTGTGTTTTGCCTGCTTCTTTGTGTGCGTGTGTTTTTGCGTGTTTTTTTCAGCCTACCCTACTGTCCGTCGATTCTGTGATATAGCCTGTGCTCTCTCTCTCTCTCTCTCTCTCTCTCTCTCTCTCTCTCTCCCTCGTAGCTCTAACTTTTTCGGCCCTCTAGCATTTCGCCAAGCCGGCTTTAGCCCGTATCGAGTTTCCGTCTCTCCTTTTTACGTCTGTGATCACAATCTCGAATTCATTGTGCACCGCCGAATATTTTTGTCGCAAGAGTAATACAGTTTTATTTTATCATTTTTCACTTATCGTTTTTTTTGGAGAGCTGAAATTCTCAGCACTTGTCTTGGTGTGCGTGTTTTTGGAGACAACTGGTTGTGATCCCGCGCTTTCTGTTGCGCCCCGGGCGTTTTTCCGTCTCAAAAACTTTATGAATTAGATTTATTACATCAGCGAGTAGACGGCGCACTGCAAATCAGAAGCAAACGAACAGCATCATCATCTTATAGGGGGGCGGTGCCGTCGGCGCAAAAGCGCACTGGAATTTGCCCTTTCGCAAAGCCTTTAAATGGGCAAACGTCGAATCATTCTCGGGAACACAGATATCAAATCAAGCACGATGCGGGGAGCCTAAAATGCCCTGGGCAAGGACTAGCGATTTAATGCAATAACTAGACACTACGAAATTGCACAAATAACGGTAATGCAGGTAAGGAAGTGGACCGTATTTATGCGGAGACGTCGATCTCATCGGAGCGGTGTTTCTGAAAAGATTAGAAATAAGTTTTGTAAATAAATTTCCGGTGCTTCCGGATAAACGGATAAACTTCGGATTCCGGTTTCGGTTTCGGTTTCCTATAAATGCAGAAATGCCTAGAGTGTGATAGCAAGTATTTTAACGGTGTTTTTGTAAAAACTTAACTATATTTTAAGCGGGACAATTAGAAAAATTTAGAAACGTTTTTCATTGATACTTTTATCGAAAATCGACGATTTTTTGACATCGAAATTGAAATTGAAATTGAAATGAAAAAATATTGTATGACTGGCTTTTGAATGATGATTTTGAATTGAATGATGAATATTCTTTGCAATTTTTAACCAAATTTGTAATGTTTTTACGTTTAAAAATAGGAAAATCAGTCTAGAAACAGTTCCGCATTTCATATTAGGAAAATCGCAGGTTAAAGAAAGACAAGTTGGTGCCCCCCCCGATAATGCGCAAGACGAAATTTTCGACCACCTTATTGGCGGCCCCCTCGTCATCCTCGTCCTTCTTCTGCAGCGGCGACGAGCCGGAGGAGGATGAGCCGCCCGACACGACGTCGTGGCGGTCCCCCGAATCGCCGGATGTCGACTCGTCGGATAGGGAATGACGGCGTTTCTGAAGTAAACACAAATGGTTTCTGGCTTAGGCTTAGGATAGGCTTAGGCTTGGCTTAGGCTTGGCTTAAGCTTGGCTTAGGCTTCCTTTCCGTAAGAATCTCTGCTAACTTGCCCATTCCTTCCTAACCCCCATGCCCCAATACCTTCCGCTAGCCTACTTTTCCCCGACCTACCGTTGCGCGCTGCTCGGCGTCCTCGTCGGCAAAACGGCGCGCGGCCGTGATCGTCACGGCGTCGTCGAGCGCCCCTCCGTTGACGTCTTCAGGACGACGCGTCAGCGAGATGCAAATGTCGCCCACCTAAAAGGCCACTTTTATAGACATGTGCCCAAAAAACTGACCGCCAATCTGCGCGTGTCGAGCCCGTAAGTGTTCTTGGTCTTGGCGGGGTCGTGGCTCGACCAGCCGTGGGCCACCACGAAGAATGGGTGCTCGGGCTGGTAGTCTTGGATGCATTCCGCGCCGTCATCGCCCACCAGGAACTGGAAAATTACTGTGGAATGGGGAAAAATGATCTCCCAAAGGATCTCTGCTAGCTTGCCCCCAATTCCTAAATAATCCCTGGTAGCTTGCCCTCACTTCCTAGATAATATCTTCCAGCTTGCCCCCATTCCTAAAGAATCTCTGCTAGCCTGCCCTTTCCTAAAGAATCTCTGCTAGCTTGCCCTGAGTTCCTAAATAATTTCGGCTAGTTCCCCTATTCCTCAATAATCTCTGCGAGCCTACCCCTGATTTCCCAAATGCCCTCTGCTAGTCCCCCTCAATTCCTAAATAATCTTCGCTAAATAGCCCCTTGAAACGTACGCGGACGCGGACAAGCGGCCCGAGCGTATCGACCCGATCCACACGGCTCGTCTCCATCGTCAGGTAGGCGGATGTCTCGGCACAGCGCAGGAAGTCGTCGGAGCTCATGTCTTCCACCTGAAACAGCGTTTTAGGAGCTAATTTTCCAAATCCGAATAGTGGAAGCGTTTCTAAATGATTTTTCCTGTTCCTAAACGTGAAAACTTTACAAATTTGATTAAAAATTATCAAAAAGTATCGATTTTTCGACCAAAAATGGCCGATTTTTGATCAAAATGTCGCTTTTTTAAAAAGTTTTTCGATAGTCTTTCGAGTTTAAATATAGTTACATATTACTAAAAACACTATTAAAAATTAGAAGGCGCCTGAAAAACCCCACAAATTCTGACCTTCTTGGTGCGCCCGTCGGCCAGCTCGATGATGGTGCCCTTCATGAAATGGGTGGGGTAGTAGCTCGACTGGGGGAGACGGCCCATTTCCCAGGCTTCTGGCGAAGCAGCGGACCCGGAACCGGATCCGGAAGAGGAGCGGGAACGGCTAGCTGGTGTTCTGGAAACAGAGGAGCTTTGAGAGGGCTGGCAGAGAACATTTAGGAATTTGGGGCATGCTGGCAGAGATCCTTTAGGAAAGGGCAGTCTGGCAGAGATAATTTATCCAAGCAATTCAGGGCAAGCTAGCAGAGACCATCTGAGCTCCAGGCTCCCGAAAGCCTACCGTAATTCCGTCGTCGTCGATGGTCCTGCAACGGCCGCTACCTCGCCTAAAAATTCTAAAATTTTTCTGCAAAAAAGGAGCTAATTTTGAATTTTGAAAGTAACTCGGCGAGAGTAACGCTAAAAATAACACCAAATTCCAAAGAGCAACCCACCAGTCGGGTTAAGCATCTTGCGCAGACTTGCGATCCCGGGCTCGATCAGTCCGCTAGACGCCTGCTTCCGGAGGGCCCTGGAGAATATCGTGTAGTCTAATCTTAAGCCGAAACCTAAGCCTAAGTTTAAGCCAAGCCTGAGCCTTGGCCTAAGCCTAAACCGAAGCCCAAGCTAAGCCTAGCCTAAGCCGAAGCTCAAGCCTAAGCCCAAGGTTAGACCCAAGCCAAGCCTAAGCGACGCCGAAGCGAGGCCTAAGCATAAGCTTTAGTCTAAGCCTAAGTCTAGACCTAAGCCTGAGCCAAAATATGAATTTCAGGGCCGTGCTAAATCCCTGGAACTGTTGAGCGGCCCCGTTTTGGGCTTATCGCCAGCTACCCCACCAGAAAATCGATACCAGCGATAATGCGGCGGTACTACCCCGCTTCCCAAATTGTCTCTGCTGAATGCCCTCCCAATTCCTGAATGATCTCTGCTAGCCTGCCACGAACTACTGACATGCTGAATTCAAAAACCATGCCCGGACCCACTTTGCCGGAATCACCCTCGGCGGTGGCATCTGGAGCGCGGCGGAGGTGGGAGCAAAACCCGGGTGCTTCAACGAGGCCAGCAGCGGGTTGAGGATGCCTAAAAAGCGTCAACTTTGCGTGTTGCGCTGCCCTACCGTATCCGGGCTTCTGGGGCTGGGCGAGCTGGGCGGCATTGGGTGGCGGTTGGAACGGGGTGAAGGCCTGGGAAATGGAAAGTGATTGGTGCGAGCTGAGCCTGAGCTTAAGCCGAAGCTTAATCCAAGCCTAAGCCAACGCACAAGCTATTCGGAAGCCTAAGCCTGAGCCTAAGCCTAAGCCTAAGGCCAAGCCTAAGCCTGAGCCTAAGCCTAAGCCTAAGCCCAAGCCTAAGCCTAAGCCTGAGCCTAAGCCTGAGCCTAACCCAAGCCTAAGCCTAAGCCTTGACCTAAGTCCAAGCCAATCTAATCCCAAGCCTAAGCCTAAGCCTAAGCCTAGGCCTAAGCCAAGCTTAAGCCTAAGCCTGAGCCTAAGCCTAAGCCTAAGCCTAAGCCTAACCCTAAGCCTAACCCTAAGCTAAGCCTAAGCTTAAGCCTAAGCCTAAGCCTAAGCTTAAGCCTAAGCCTAAGCCTAAGCCTAAGTCTACGTCAGAGCCTAAGCTAGTTCTCGTTCACTTACCGTAGCGCTAGCCGGCGCACTGCGGCTACCATTTGTGTGTTGGGTGGCGAGGATCTGTTGGAGGAGCAGCTGCTGAGCCTGCTGCAGTTGGAGCTGAAAACGAGAGGCAGGCTAGCAGAGAGCATTCCGGAGAGCTACCTGCTGCTGAATGCGGGCAAAGTCGAGGGGAAACTGCTGCTGGGCGGCGGTGGGTGTGGGTGGCGGGTGAGCGGGTGACATCTGCTGGCCATGCTGGGCGAGGGCGGCCAAAAGCAGCGGCGACGGGAAGCCGCTGCTCGGGCTTGGCTGTAAAAAAGTTGAGGTTCTGGGCTGTTAGCGGGGGGTGGAAAAAACCAATTTCTGTTTTTCCACCTGTTGTTGATATATAATGTATTTTTATAGTGTTTTTAATTGCTAGAAAAATTAAAAAAAATTTTAAATTTGAAAATTCGATAATTTTGTTTTTTTCGTCTATTTTTGACAAAAAAACCAAAAATTTTCGAAAGTTGTTGTTTTTATATTGTTTTGATATCCAAAAATTATGTAAAATGCTAGAAAAATGATATATTTTGTTATTGGGCCGTAGAGCATCAGAGGGGAAAAATTTGGTTCCCCCCGCTAACATTCCAGAACCAAAAATTCGTAAATATCCTCTGCTAGCCTCCCATGCTTCTCAACGAATCTCTGCTAGCCTGCCCCGGCCTCACCTGGCTAAATGCCGAGTTCGGGCTCGCGCCAAGTGTCGACGGCTGAGTCGAACCGACGCCAAACATTGGGCCCTAAAAGTTGGAAAGTTGTAAGGCTAGAGTTCTTGAAGTTGAAACCGGAAGTGAGGCTCAAGGTCCTGAACTCACATTTACGATAAGCTTGGCCAGCTCGTTCATGTTGGCCGGCCGTTGGACGGGGGTTGCAGGCTGAAAAGTTGGTGGTTAGTTGGGACCGGAAAGGGTCATTTTCGAAGTAAAAGAATGAAAGAAAAAAATGTTAGGTTTGGCTTAGGCTTAGCTTGGCTTAGGAAGGGCTTAGGCTTAGGCTTAGGCTGTGGCTTAGGCTTAGCCTACAAGCGGCATCGTCTTTGGCAGGGACTTGAGTTTGGGCTTAGGCTTAGGTTTGCTGGGGCTTCTGATGTAGACTTTGGCTTAGGCTTAGGCTTAGGGTTGCTTGAGTTTCTGACGCAAACTTTGCCCCGGGGATTATGTTTATGCTCAGGCTTAGACGTAGGCTTAGCTTCAGCTTAAGTCTAACTAGGGTTTAGCTTAGGCTTAGGCTTAGGCTTAGCTTGGTTTAGATTTGGCTTAGGCTTGGCTTAGGCTTAGGCTTAGCATTCCATCACAAGCAGAATCGAAGGGAAGGCTAGCAATGATCCTTTGGGAATGAATCTCAGCCGAGCAGGGACCCCGTGAGCTCAAATCCGTCGCGTGTAACGTTGGGTGTGCAGTGTGAGGGTCGACGGGGGGTTAGGCGCGGGGTTAAAGGGTTGTGTGTCCCCCCGTCCACCCGGTCTCAAGCCCCCGGCAAAAGCGATAGGCACAAAAAGAGCTGCCATGTGCGAGCCCATCCACGACAGTTGTAGCTCACGGCGAAAGAGAGGGAATTTGGGATGGGAGGGGGACCGGAAATAGGGGAGGAAACTGAGAAACTCCTCAAGGATCTCTGCTAGCTTGCCCATTCCTAAAGAATCTCTGCTAGCCTGACCTTTCCTAAAGAATCTCTGCTAGCCTGACATTTCCAAAAGAATATCTGCTAGCCTGCCATTTCCTAAAGAATCTCTGCTAGCCTGCCATTTCCTAAAGAATCTCTGCTAGTTTGCTCTTTCCTAAAGGCTCTCTGCTAGCCTGTAGGGATTCTTTAGGAAAAGGCAAGCTAGCAGAGACTCTTTGAAAAGTCGTCTTCCACTTGTTTTCAACGTTTTCGAGACCGATCGTGTGTGTGTATGTCTGTTTTTGTTGCCAGCCCGGGCCCCCGGTTTTTGACAAAGCGAATGTCGAGTGTTGAGGAATGGCGGCGGGCCACTCGTTTGTTACAACCCCGCCGGGGTTCACGCCATTCTTTTTCGGGGGTTTTTTCGGTTTCTACGTGAACCCGCCGTGGGGGATCAGGCTTCCGAAATGGTCTCTGCTAGCAGCCCTTTCCTGAAGAATCTGTGCTAGCCCGCCCTTTCCTAAAGAATCTCTGCCAGCTGCCCATTGCCAACTTTCTGCTAAGCGTCCAACCTGGAACTCGTGCGCCCAATTCAGTGATGCAGCCGGCTCGACGTGGCTCATCTGACTGAAAACTAAGCCTTGAAAAAGCGTGCGGAAAGGGGAAAAATGGAAGACTCACAGGAGCAGCAGAGATCATTTGGGAATTCAGGGGCTAGCTAGCAGATATTCTTTAGGAAATGGCAGGCTAGCAGCGATTCTTTAGGAAAGGGCTGGCTAGCAGAGATTCTTTAGGAAAGGGCAGGCTAGCAGAGATTCTTTAGGAAAGGGCTGGCTAGCAGAGATTCTTTAGGAAAGGGCAGGCTAGCAGAGATTCTTTGGCTGCCCAAAAATGATGAAGAAATGATCACATCAGCCCCTAATTTCTGGCGCATCAGCTGGCCCGGAAAAAGTCAGCTGATGCCGGGGGTGAAGTTGGGGCAAGAAGCCCGATAAGAACCGTCTATTCGAACCCAGTTAACCTTGCGCTCTCGCGTGAAGCGCCTTTCAAAAGAACCGTCAGCCCTTTCACCTGGCCGCCAGCCAATTCTTGAGTCAGACGGGGCGGGGAATTTCAGGGAACGGAATTTGGAAATTAATGGAAATCGCGAAATTTCTGAAATATGAATAAGTCTAAAAATTTAGATCTGGGCAGGCTAGCAGACATTTTTCAGGAAAGGGCAGGCTAGCAGAGATTCTTTCTGCGTCCCAAAAATTTTCGTCTCTATTCTAGAGGCCCTGGGGCCCCAGCCATGTCTGATCGGAGGGCCCTGGGAAGCGCCTGAAAAAGCCCGAAAAAGGCAAAGAACCCCGAAACGAGCAGAAGCCGCTTGCGTTCCGTCTTCCTTTCTCTCTCTCGTCTCTCTCTCTCTCCCTCGCTCCAATCTACGCGGGAAATACGCTGATTTCCCGCATGAATTCCCCAAGGGAACCCGGAGAGTTTACTGTAGTGTGACTGGAGATTAGAGTGTATCCACATGCCTAAGTAAAAGCCCACGCCTAAGCCTAAGCCTAAGCCTAAGCCTAACCTAAGCCTAAGCTTAAGCCTAAGCCTAAGCCTAAGCCTAAGCCTAAGCCTAAGCCTAAGCCTAAGCCTAAGCCTAAGCCTAAGCCTAAGCCTAAGCCTAAGCCTAAGCCCAAGCCTAAGCCTAAGCCTACGCCTTAGACGAATTCTTTCAATAACAGGTAGCCGAACACATGGTAAGAAGCCCAAAAGTTCCACAAAATTCCGGCAGTCCGGAAAATTATTTTGTTTCGGGTGTGCGAC